AGAGACAGGGTTTCACCATGTTGCCTAGACAGGTTTTGAACTCTTGGGCTCAAGAGATCCACCTGCCTTAGCCTCCCAGAGTTCTGGGATTACAGCTGTGAGCCACTGCAACCAGCCTGGCCCTAGGATTTTCAGAGTGGTAATGGCTTCAATTTAAAGTCGCAGCAGCCAGGCACGGTGGCTCATGCCTGTGATCCCAGCACTTTGGGAAGCTGAGGTGGGTAGATCACCTGAGGTATGGAGTTCGAGACCAGCCTGGCCAACATGGTGAAACCACATACCTACTAAAAATACAAAAATTAACCAGGTGTGGTGGTGTGTGCCTGTAATTCCAGCTACTAGGGAGGCTCAGGCAGGAGAATCACTTGAACCTGGGAGGCAGAGGTTGCAGTGAGCCAAGATCGCTCCACTGCACTCCGGCCTGAGCGACAAGAGCGAAACTCCGTCTCAATAATAATAATAATAATAAAATAAAGTCACCAGCTACATTAGCCCCTAACAGGAGAATCAGCCTGTCCTTCAAAGCTTTGAAACCAGACAGTAACTGCTGCTCTCTAGCTATAAAAACCCTTGATGACATCTTTTTCCAATAGAAAGCTGAGTTGTCTATGTTGAAATTCTGTTGTTTCGTGTAGTGACTTTCATTATCTTAGTTTTAACTGTATCTTTTGGATAACTTGTTAGAGCTCTTGCTTGCTTTACCTTGCACTTTCATGTTATTGAGAAGCTTCTTTCCTTAAACCTTGTGAACTAACCTCTGCCAGCTTCCAACTTTTCTTCTGCAGCTTCCTTAACTCTCTCAGACTTCATAGCATTGAAGGGAGTGAGGGCTTTGCTCTGGATTAGGCTCTGGCTTAAGGGAATGTTGTGATAGTTTGGTCTTCTAACCATACTCTAAAATTTACTTTCTTCATATCAGCAAGAAGGCTGTTTTGTTTTCTTACTCATGTGTTCATGGATTAGCACTTTTAATTTCCTTTAAGAACTTTTCCTTTGCATTCACAGCCTGGCCAACTATTGGGCTCAAGAGTCCTAGCTTTCAGCCTTTCTCAGCTTTTGACATGCCTTCCTTGCTAAACTTCAGGATTTCTAGCTTTTGATTTAAAATGAGAGATTCTTTCTTTTACTTGGACACTTAAAGGTCATTGTAGGGTAATTAATTGGCTTAATTTCAATATTTTTATGTCTCAGGGAATAGGGAGGCCTGAGTAGAAGGAGACAGGTAGGGGAAAGGCTGGTTGGTGGAGCAATCAGAACACACACATTTATCAGTTAAGTTCACTTTCATATATGGGCACAGTTCTTGGTGCACGAACACAGTTACAATAGTAACATCAAAGATTACTGATCACAGATCATCATAATGTACAATAATAATGAAAAAGTTTGAAATATACATAACACAGTTGGATTTGTAGCCTAGAATTTTAGCCAGTTTTTGTAAATTTTCCATGTGTGCTTGAAGAAAATGTGTATTATACAGTTGTTGGGCTTGGTGTTTATATATTACCATTTATCAGGTTTGATACTAGTTCAAATCTTCTGTACCCGTATTGATTTTGTTTTTCCATTTGTTTTAACATGTACTAAGAAGGGCAAGTTAAACTTTCTTGCTTCTTCTCCTTTTAATTCTGCCAATTTTTGTTTTATATATTTTTAGGCTTTATTATTACATGCATACAAAATTAGAGTTGTTAAAGCTTCCGGGTTCATTGAAACCTTTTTTCATTGTTAAGGATTTTTCTTTATCTTTAGTAATGCTTTTACTTTAAAGTCTACTTTGTCAGGTGTTAACTAAACTGGCTTTCTTTTGGTTAGTGTTTGTATTTTTATCTTTTCTACTTTTACTTTCAGTTTTTTGTATATATTTCAGATGTGTTTTTTAGAAAAAAATTTGCCTTTTTCTTTGTTTTACCTTTGTTTCATCACAATTTTCGTCTTTAATTTGATCTTGTAGTCTGCTTGTATTTAATGTATCACTAATTTTATTTGGGTTTAAATCTATTATTTTGTGTTTTCTCTTTACCTAGCCTGTTTTATGTTCCTTTTTCTATATTTTTTGGTTTGATAACTTTAAAAAATTATTCCGTATTTCTTCTCCACTAGCTTATTATTTACACATTGTTTTACTATTTTGGTGGTTATTCCAGAGATTACAACATAGACCATTGACTTAACAAAGTCTAATATTTACTGGTTGTTCTGCTTCTTCCCAGACAATAAAAGAACCTTAGAAGACTTCAACTCAGTTTGTCCATTCTTGACTTAAATGCCATTTTTATATTTCTTAATTTTTAAAGAACATCCTGCCTTGTATTGCATAGTTCCTTCTACTTCAAGAATAATCTTGTTTTCCCTCTAGTGTAGATCTGCTATTGACAAATTCTCTTGGCTTGACAAATTCTCTTGGCTTTCTTTTTCTTTCTTTCTTTCTTTTTTTTTTTTTTTTTGAGATGGAGTCTTGCTCAGTCACCCAAGCTATAGTACAGTGGCATGATCTCAGCTCACTGCAACCTCCGCCTTCTGGGTTCAAGCAACTCAGCCACCCAAGGAGCTGGGATTACAGGTGCCTGCCACCACGCCCGGCTCATTTCTCTACTTTTAGGTAGAGACAGGTTTCCCCATGTTGGCCAGGCTGATATTGAACTCCTGACCTAAAGTAATCCACCTTCCTTGGCCCCCCAAAGTGCTGGGTTACAGGTGTGAGCCACTGTGCCCAGCATGCTTTTCTTACTCTTGATGGTAAAGTTCACTCAATACAGAATTTTTAACTGATGCTAAGAATTATACCTTTGTCTTTTCCTTTCCACTATTTTTGCTGAGAACTCACCTCTTAGTCTAAATTTTTCAATATTTTTCTTTTTGTCTTTGAACAGTTTATTATGATCTTCTTAGGGGTAGATTTAGATTTTTAAAAACTCTTGCTGGGATTTTTGTTTCTGTGATTTTATATCTTTTTATCAGTTCTTAGAACTGATAAAGAGTTAAAAACTGATAAGAACTTTGGAAAGTTCTTAGCCATTACCTTTCCTTTTTTTACCCCCTTCCCTCCACTACCATTAGCTTTTCTAGTATTCCTTCTATCCCATTCATTCCTCTTCTTTTGGGACTGTAATTATAGGTATGTTAGGCCTATTCCTTGTATACTCTGTGAGTCTTACTGTTTTTCTATATTTAATTAATTAATTAGACATGGAGTCTTGCTAATGTTGCCGAGACTGGTTTTGGACTCCTGGTCTCAAGGGATCCTGCTGCCTTAGCATCCCAAGTCCCTGGGATTACAGATGTGCAGTACCACACCTAGCCTCCATATTTTGAATCTTTGGTCTCTCTGTGCTGAATTTTGAGTATGTTTCTGATCTATCTTCCTGCTCACTCATTCTTTCTCCAACTATATCTAACCTGCTGTTAAACTTTACATTGAGTTCTTATTTTCTCAGATATCCATTTTATCCTTTCATTATAGTTCCCAAGTTTACAGTCTTGTCTTTCAGCTCCTTGAAAATAGTAAGCAGAGTTACTTTTTTTTTTGAGAAGAAGTTTTGCTCTTACCACCCAGGCTGGAGTGCAATGGCACGATCTCAGCTCACTGCAACCTCCACCTTCTGGGTCCAAGTGATTCTCCTGACTCAGCCTCCCAAGTAGCTGGGATTATAGGCACACACCACCATGTCCGGCTAATTTTTTGTATTTTTAGTAGAGACGGGGTTTCACCACGTTGGCCAAACTGGTCTTCAGCTCCTAACTTCAGATGATCTGCCTGCCTCAGCCTTCCAAAGCGCTGCAATTACTTCTGTAAGCCACCGTGCCTGGCCTTCAGAGTTACTTTTAAGTCTGCCTAGTAGCTCCAGTATCTGGGTCTTTCTTGGATTGCTTTCTATTAAGTATTATTTTTGCTGCTTTGGTTTATGTTACTTTGTTATTTTGGGTGTAATTGTATTAATAAGCCCATGAAGTTACTTTGTTTTTGAATCTCCAATATAGACATTCTCTAGAACAGTTATGAGCATTTGGGACTTTGTCAGTAACCAGCCATGAAGATTTACTTTCATTCCTGTAGGCTCCTTTTCACCTATCTAAAGCCTCCCCATTCTTTTTTTTTTTTTTTGAGACAGAGTCTCACTCTGTTGCCCAGGCTGCAGTGTGATGGCGCAATCTCGGCTCACTGCAACCTCCGCCACCCGGGTTCAAGCATTTCTCCTATCTCAGCCTCCTGAGCAGCTGGGATTATATGCGCATGCCACCCCACCTGGCTAATTTTTTGTGTTTTAAGTAGAGACAGGGTTTCACTGTGTTCCCCAGGCTGGTCTCGAATTCCTGAGCTCAGGCAATTCACCTGCCTTTGCCTCCCCAAGTGCTAGGATTACAGGAGTGAGCCACTGCACCTGGCCTAAGACTTCCCATTCTATAATGTCTACATTTAAGTACCACTTCTCTGGAACCTGCCCTGACCACACCTCTGATTCCTCATCATGTATCATCTCTCTGACTCCCGTGGCACTTGGCCATATTGTCTTGTGTAGTGTAACTTACTATGATTATAAACTGTGGGAGGACAGAGAAGAGTGTATTGTGTCTTTTGACGGCTAAACCAAGTCTGTCACCTTGTAGGGAAAACAACACTGGCCTACCTCAGGAACTTTGTGAGGGCCAAATGAGGTAATGTGTGAGAATAGTTCTTATAATCCATATAGCAGAATTGTAAGGAATTATAGTTGTTGTTAGCATAGTCAATATATGAATCATAGACCATAATCTCTGTGAGGGCAGAGACCTATACAAGAGGTTTGCAGTAAATATTTCTTGATTTAGTTTATTATATGAATGAATTTGACCAGATTCCCTCATTTTTGTCTATTAAATGATATGAAATAGGAATGATATTCTCATAGGGAGGAAAAAATAAGAAATAGCAATGAAAAAGTTAAAGACCTGTAGGAAAAAGTTAAACTTTATCAAAAATTTCATTTAATTTTTTTTCCCCTTTGCAAATCCAATAGGTTTATCTCAACATGTAGTTACCAACTATAAGCAAGTAATCCAACTCTTGGAAGAGGGAATTGCAAACAGGTTTGTTTCTGTCATTCTTTTATCTTCACACTCCTTTCCTGTGTTCCCATTTCCCTTTGGGGAGTGTATAATGACACTTAAAATTGTCTCTGTGTGTAGATATGTTCACAGCCAGGAGGCTTTTCCCGGAACACTACTGTACCCAGGGTAAAGGGCAGTGACTTAGTCTCTTGTCAGGGGCGGTGGCTCACGCCTGTAGTCCCAGCACTTTGGGAGGCTGAGGTGGGTGAATCATGAGGTCAGGAGTTCAAGACCAGCCTGGTCAAGATGGTGAAACGCTGTCTCTACTAAAAATACAAAAATTAGCTGGGCGCAGTGGCAGGCACCTGTAATACAAGCTACCCGGGAGGCAGAGGTTGCAGTGAGCTGAGATCGTGCCACTGCACTCTAGCCTGGGTGACAAAGCAATACTCCATCTCAAAAAAAAAAAGATTTAGTCTCTTCTCACTAGTAATGAAGGTGGAATCTATTCTGGATATAATAATATTAGGCAGTAAGCCCAGACAAGTTACTCTATACTTTATTTAGAGCTTCTAGTATTTGGAAGAAAAGATTCTTACCCGCATTGTCCTCTCCTCAGGTTTGATAGATACAAGGAAGAATACAGTGTAAAAGTTTCAGAAAACCATTTTTCTCTAGTTTTGAATACTTACAAGGTAGCGCCCCCAAAGACTGTTTTTAATCTGCTATGAATAACTAGGTGCTGTAGACGCCCCTAAAAGCTATTGTAAATTGTAATAACATTCCATGTTGTTAGTTACTATGAATTACCTAGAATATTACTAGTAAGTGTTCCCTAAAAATGGCTTTTTTTTCTGGGTTTAAAAAAATCTTTAGAGTCTTCTATTTATCCTGTTAATAGCAGGACCAAGTTAATTGAACATAATGGAAGAAATTTAAATTTAACGCCTTCCTGAGCTTCATGGAACTCTCCTGGAGACGCTTGTTTCTGGTCTTCAGGATACCCTGAGTGCCTTGATTTTTAAGTGTCAGTCATGAATCATGAGACCAGCCTCTAGATTTTGGCTGTTTTCTTTGATTCTCCAGATCCTCTGAGAATAGAACTCAGTAAGATGATCTTAGATAAAGGAAAAACTCTCCTGACTTTAAGTGTTAACACTGTAATGGATTTCTAAGGGAGAGTATGAATTCCACCTGGCTTAAGCATGATACCGATGTGAGTTCAGTTCTCATATCCAAGATCTTTCTGACACTAGAATTAATATTCTGTGTTTAATCAAAACTTACTTTCTCTGTCTTTGAGTTATCTTCTCTAGCAAGCTCTCTACATCCACTTGTCTTATTAAAATTGGTCTAAGAAAAAGAATAAAATAAAATGAGTGTATCTTGGGCATGTTCTTCCAGGTTTATGATGCTCTAGTCTTCATTTCCCTTTTCACTCAAATTTTTTGCTCCTTTTGCTTAAAAAAAAAAAGTTTTAGTGTAGTTTAGTATGAAGCCGTGCTCCATTTTATGCTCAGATAGCACCTGGAATGCTGCTTCTGCTCTCTTCGGACTATTCTCTTTACTATACTCGACTAAATATGTTTTATGATTCTCATCTGTGAACCTCAGCACTAACATTTCTTGTATTCCCTGTGGATCCTTAAGAATCCATCATGTGTGAACAATCCTCATCCTAACAATTTTTCCTTATATACACAGAATCACAGCAGCCACTCATGTTCATGAGGCCAGCAGCCGATCCCATGCCATTTTTACTATCCACTACACGCAGGTTAGTAATCCCTTATGTTTGGTGGGATTTCTCCCTCTCCTTGTACCTTTAAACTACTTGCTTGTCTTCATTCCTATTTTTCTCCTTTCCTCCTCCTCTCATGTTTATAGGTCCTCTGATAGAACCTAATATTATAAACAGGACTACACTTAGAATGAGTTGAAGCATTTCATAAAGACTAATCAAAATATATCCTGTATATAAAGACTAATCAAAATATATCCTGTATGTATGTATGTATGTATGTATGTATGTATGTATTTTTTGAGACAGAGTCTTGCTCTGTCGCCAGGTGCCAGGCTAGAGTGCAGTGGTGCAATCTTGGCTCACTGCAGCCTCCGCCTCCTGGGTTCAAGCAATTCTGCCTCAACCTCCTGAGTAGCTGGGACTATGGGTGCGTGCCACCATGCCCAGCTAATTTTTGTATTTTAGTAGAGATGGGGTTTCACTATGTTGGCCAAGATGGTCTTGATCTCTTGACCTCATGATCTGCCTGTTTGAATCTCCCAAAGTGCTGGGATTACAGGCATAAGCCACTGAGCCTGGATGCTTGTATTTATTTTTAGCATTTTAAAACACTTTCACATCTGTGTGATCAGTATGGACAGTTGAAAGGTTGAAAAGAAAATAAGCATTAAAATGAAATATTAGAAGATTCACCTCAGGCCGGGCGTGGTAGGTCAAGCCTGTAATCCCAGCACTTTGGGAGGCTGAGGTGGGTGGATCATGAGGTCAAGAGATCGAGACCATCCTGGTCAACATGGTGAAACTCCATCTCTACTGAAAATGCAAAAAATTAATTGGGCATGGTGGTGTGTGCCTGTAATCCCAGCTACTCAGGAGGCTGAGGCAGGAGAATTGCCTGAACCCAGGAGGCGGAGGTTGCCGTCAGCCGAGATCATGCCATTGCACTCCAGCCTGGGTAACAAGAGTGAAACTCCGTCTCAAAAAAAAAAAAAAAAGAAGAAGATTCACCTCTAATGATGGAATAAGGAGGTCAAGTCATATCCCCAAAAAGTAACTATAAAGCTGGACAAAATCCTTTCTGTGGTCTGAAAATAGATTAAATGAATATTACAAAGTGAGAAGCACCACACCACCACCCCCAAAATAAAACAATGACTAAAAATTTCCTAAATTTGGTGAAAATCATTTATTGATCTAAGGAGGTCAAAGAACTCCAAGTAAAATAAACACAAAGAGATCGACACCTAGACACATTGTTGAAAGACAATTGAAAGACAAAGAGAAAATCTTAAAAACAGCTGGATAAAAGTGACTCATACGAGGAGAATGATTACATGGTGAATGGCCAGATTCTCATCAGAAACATTGAACCTTAGAAGCCAGGTGCTGAGAGAGTTTATGTCAACCAAGAATTTTATATGAAACAAAACTAGCTTTCAAAAAAATGAAGATGAAATAAAAACATTCCCAGACTGGGGGGAAAAAAAAAAAAAGTAGAATTTTTTGCTAGCAGACTTACCTGACAAGAAAACTAAATGAAATCTAGGCTGAAAGAGAGTGATAGTAGAAAGTATCTTAAATCTATAGGGGAAAATTGAATAGCCTGGGAATGGTAAATATGTGAGTAAATATAAAAAAACTACATAAATATATTCTTTCTCATTTCTTCTTCTAATGTTAATAAAAGAATAAGATTGTAGAAAACCACAACTATAATAGTGCATTTTTGTACTTTGTTGTATATGAAAAGAACAGCACAAGGGAAATGAAAGATATATTTAAGTAGAGTTTCTATATTTTACAATAATTCAGTTAGTATTATTTTGAAGTAGATCATAAAGATGCATATTGTAATCTGTAGAGCACATATGAAGAAAATACCTCAAAAATATAATTTTAAAAATCAACATTTCTTCTGCTTTCTCTGGGCAGAAAAACCCAGAAATTAAAACGGTACATACTAATAAAAATACTTAACAGTTAAAGGCAGTGGAGGAAGAATAGAGGAACAAAGGAGACATGAGATTTATAGAAAAAAGAAAAATCAGACATGGATGGTTCTGAGCATGTCAGTAATTATGAAATACAATAAATACATTATGTGTGAATTGCCTAAGGTACAAATTTTTAGACTGCATAAAAGCAAAACCCAACTATATCCTTCCTATAAAAAACACACATTAGAACTACGGACACAGGTTGGAAGTAAAAGGTTGGAAAAAGATACACCATAAAAGTAGTAACCGTAAGTCATAGCCAGAGTAATGAGACAAGAGAAAGAAAGAAAGGGCCTCCAGATCAGTAAAGAGAAAGTCAGACTGTTGCTGTTTGCTGATGACATGATTGTACACCGAGAGAACCCTAAAGACTCATCCAGGCCGGGCATGGTGGCTCACATCTGTAATCCCAGCACTTTGGGAGGCCAAGGAGGGTGGATCACTTGAGGTCAGGAGTTTGAGACCAGACTGACGAACATGGTGAAATCCCATCTTTACTAAAAGTATGAAAAACAAGCTGAGCATGGTGGCAGGTGCCTGTAATTCTAGTTACTGGGGAGGCTGAAGCAGGAGAATCGCTTGAACCTGGGAGGTGGAGTTCGCAGTGAGCCGAGATCATGCCACTGCACTCCAGTCTGGTTAATGGAGTGAGACTCAAAAATAACAACAGCAAAACTAAATCTGGATGCATTACATTGCTTAACTTATCTCTCAACTTATACAAAAATCAAGTAAAGATGGATCAAAGACTTAAATCTAAGATCCAAAACCATAAAAATTCTAGAAGATAACCTTGGAAAAATCCTTCTAAACTTTGGCTTAGGCAAAGACTACATGACCAAGAACCCAAAAGCAAATGCAACAAAAACAAAAATAAATAGATGGGACTTAATTAAACCAAAAATCTTGTGCACAAAAGAAATAATCAGCCCACAGAATGGGAGAAAATCTTTGCAGTCTATGCTTTCAACAAAGGACTAATATCCAGAATCTACAAGGAACTCAAATTAGCAAGAAAAAAACAGTCCCATCAAAAAGTGGGCTAAGGATATGAATAGACAATTCTCAAAGGAAGATATACAAATGACAACAAACACAAGGGAAAAAAATGCTCAGTATCACTGATTATCAGGGAAATGCAAATCAAAACCACACTGCAGTACCACCCTACTCCTGCAAGAATGGCCATAATCAAAAAATCAAAGAGGCTGAGTTGGTGGCTCATTCCTATAATTCCAGCCCTTTGGGAGACTGAGGCAGGTCGATCACCTGAGGTCAGGCGTTTGAGACCAGCTTGGCCAACATGGTGAAATGCTGTTGCACCATTGCACTCCAGCCTGGGCAACAGAGTGAGACTCCATCTCAAAATAAATAAGATAGGTTTTAAGACAAATACAAGAGACAGGGATATTTCATAATGGTAAAGGGTCAGTCAGTACATTGAAAAGATACTTAAAAAAAAAAAAATTAAGCCGGGCACGGTGGCTCAAGCCTGTAATCCCAGCACTTTGGGAGGCTGAGGCGGGCGAATCACGAGGTCGAGAGATCGAGACCATCCTGGTCAACATGGTGAAACCCCGTCTCTACTAAAAATACAAAAAAACATTAGCTGGGCATGGTGGTGCATGCCTGTAATCCCAGCTACTCAGGAGGCTGAGGCAGGAGAATTGCTTGAACCCAGGAGGCGGAGGTTGTGGTGAGCCGAGATCGTGCCATTGCACTCCAGCCTGGGTAACAAGAGCGAAACTCCGTCTCAAAAAAAAAAAAAAAAAAAAAATTAAAAAAAAAAAATTTTCTGAGGCAGGAGAATTGCCTGAACCCAGGAGGCGGAGGTTGCGGTGAGCCGAGATCGCGCCATTGCACTCCAGCCTGGGTAACAAGAGCGAAACTCCGTCTCAAAAAAAAAAAAAAAAAAAAAAAAAGAAAAGATACTTAAAAATGTATGTACTCTCAACCAAACCTCAAAATAACATGAAAAAATGGATCAAGTTGAAAGGAAAAATAGTTCAACAACAGTTGGATATTTTAGTACCGCATTTCCAGTTAGTAGGTAGATAACCAGACAGAAATCAGTGAGGAAATAGAAGATTTGAGCAACATTATTGAACTATGTGACCCACTGACATTTTTAGAACACTCATTTAACATGACAACATACACATATTTTCAAGTGCACATGGAGTATTCTCTGAGATAAACCATATGCTGCCTAAAGCTACAGTAACCAAGATAGTGTGGTGTTAGTGTTAAGATAGACAAATAGATTACTGAAACAGAATAAGGTCCAAAATAGACACACACATATATAGGCAACTGATTTATTTTATTTTATTTTATTTTTTTGAGACGGAGTTTCGCTCTTGTTATCCATGCTGGAGTGCAATGGCGCGAATCTCGGCTCACTGCAACCTCCGCCTCCTGGGTTCAGGCAATTCTCCTGCCTCAGCCTCCTGAGTAGCTGGGATTACAGGCACGCACCACCATGCCCAGCCAATTTTTTTTTGTATTTTTTAGTAGAGACGGGGTTTCACCGTGTTGACCAGGATGGTCTCGATCTCTTGACCTCGTGATCCACCCGCCTCGGCCTCCCAAAGTGCTGGGATTACAGGCTTGAGCCACCGTGCCCGGCCGGCAACTGATTTTTAATAAAGTTGCAAAGGCAATTCAGTGGAGAAAATATAATCTTTTCGGCAAGTGATGGGAGAACAATTGGATGTCTATTTGAAAAAAAAAAAACTTTGATTTATATTTTGCACTTTATCCAGAAGTTAACTCATATTGAATCATAGATCTAAATGGGAAACCTGAAACTATTAAGCTTTAGAAGATAACTTGGGAAAACCTTTGTGATTTTTTTATTATTCAAAGGTTTTATACATAGGGCACCAAAGACACAAATTGAACAAAAGTACAAATTGAAATTTGGAGTTAATCAAAATTTCGAACTTTTGCACTTTGATTTTTTTTTTTTTTTTTTTTTTTTTGGATAAGATGTCACTCTGTGACCAAGGCTAGAGTGCAGTGGCACAATCATGGCTCACTGCAGCCTCAGCCTCCTGGAATCAAGTGATCCTCCCACCTCAGCCTCCCAAGTAGCTGGGACTTACAGGGGTGTGTGTGTGTATGTATGTGTGTGTACACTTACATTGTATAAAATAACTTTTGTATATTTTTTTTGTGGAGACAGTATCTTGTTGTGTTGCCCAGGCTGGTCTTGAATCCCTGGGCTCAAGTGTTCCTCCTGCCTCAGCGTCCCAAAATGCTGGGATTACAGGCATGACTCACTATGCCAGCCTTTTGCACTTTTTTTTTTTTTTTTTTAATGAGTCTGAGTCTTGCTCTGTCACCCAGGCTGGAGTGCAGTGGAATGATCCTGACTCACTGTAACCTCCACCTTCTGAATTCTCATGATTCTCCTGCCTCAGCAACCCAAGTAGCTGCAATTGCAGGCACACATTACCATGCCTGGCTAATTTTTTTATTTTTAATAGAGACTGGTTTTAACCATGTTAGCCAGGCTGGTCTTGAACTCCTGACCTTAAGCAATCCAGCCTGCCTTGGCCTCCCAAAATGCTGAGATTACAGGCATGAGCCACCGTGCCTGGCCTCTTTTGCACTTTTAAAGACACTGTTAGGAGAATAAAAAGAAAAGCAGGTCAGGTACAGTGGCTCATGCCTGTAATTCCAGCACTTTGGGAGGCCAAGGCAGGCTGATCACTTGAGGTCAGGAGTTCAAGAACAGCCTGGCCAAGATGGTGAAACCCCGTCTCTACTAAAAATACAAAAATTAGCCTGGTGTGGTGGTGCGCACTTATAATTCCAGCTACTTGGGAGGCTGAGGCAGGAGAATTGCTTGAACCCAGGAGGTGGAGTTTGCTGTGAGCCGAGATCGTGCCACTGCACTCCAGCCTGGGCAACAGAGCAAGACTCCCTATCAATAAAAAAAAAAAAAAGAAAAGAAAAGCAACAGATAGGTAGAACTTACTTGATAAACATCAGATGAAGGAATTATATCCAGAATATATCTGTAAACACCATAATATGAAAACAAAACAACGACAAAAATTTTGAGCTGACATCTCACTAAACAAAATATGCCAGTGGCAGTTAAATACTTGAAAAAATTCTCAACATCCTTATTCATTTGGGAAATACAAATTAGAACCAAATGAAATACCACTACCCACCCTTTAACTTGGCTAAAGTTATACTAATTATCAACAAGTGTGTAGGAGGAGTTTTCATACACTGTACTACTAGTGGGAATGTAAAATGGTATAACAACTTTGGAAAAGAGTTTTGCAGTTTATTTAAAAGTTAAATATGCGCCGGGCGCTGTGGCTCAAGCCTGTAATCCCAGTACTTTGGGAGGCCGAGGCGGGTGGATCACGAGGTCGAGAGATCGAGACCATCCTGGTCAACATGGTGAAACCCCGTCTCTACTAAAAGTGCAAAAAATGAGCTTGGCATGGTGGCACGTGCCTGTAATCCCAGCTACTCAGGAGGCTGAGGCAGGAGAATTGCCTGAGCCCAGGAGGCGGAGGTTGTGGTGAGCCGAGATCGCGCCGTTGCACTCCAGCCTGGGTAACAAGGGCGAAACTCCGTCTCAAAAAAAAAAAAGTTAAATATATGGCTGGGCATGGTGGCTCATGCCTGTAATCCCGACACTTTGGGAGGCAGTGGTGGGTGGATCACGGGGTCAGGAGATCGAGACCATCCTGGCTAACACTGTGAAACCCTGTCTCTACTAAAACTACAAAAGTTAGCTGGATATGGTGGTGGGCATCTGTAGTTTCAGGTACTTTGGAGGCTGAGGCAGGAGAATCCTCTGAACCTGGGAGGCAGAGGTTGCAGGGAGCCAAAATTGCACCAGTGCACTCCAGCCTGGGCAACAGAGTGAGACTCCATCTTGGGGAAAAAAAAAAAAAAGTTAAAGACACTCCTAGCATATGACAAAGATAAATATCCATAGAAAGATGTACATAAATATTAATGACAGTGTTACTTTGCTTTGGACTTCAATTAAAAATGAAAACAGATAAAATTGAAAAAAAAATTTAAAAAGACAGTGTTATTTGTAATTACCCCAAATTTGAAAAAAAAACCCTACATATCCATCAAAAGGCAAATGGGTAACTGTGGTATATCTACACAATTGAATACTACTCAGCAGTAAAAGTGAATGAACTGTTGATGCATGCCTTAACATGGGCGAATCTCAATTATGTACAGTGAAAAGAGCCAAACATTGTATGATTCTGTTTATATGAAATATTATGAAAAGGCAGACTAATAGACATAGAAAATTAAGTACTTCAAACTGGGGATGAGAACAGAGATTAACTGCAAAGATATGAGGGATTTGGGGATTATTTGAAATGTTCTAAAACTACATTTGATTAATGATGTATAACATTGACAATTTCTGGCCGGTGCAGAGGCTCACACCTGTAATCTCAACATTTTGGGAGGCCAAGGCGGGCAGATCACCTGAGGTCAGGCGTTCAAGACCAGCCTGGCCAACATGGCAGAACTCTTTCTCTACTAAAAATACAAAATTAGACGGGCCTGGTGATGCATGCCTGTAATCTCAGCTACTTGGGAGGCTGAGGCAGGAGAATCACATGAACCTGGGAGGCGGAGGTGGTAGTGAGCCAAGATTGTGCCATTGTACTCCAGCCTGGGCAGCAAGAGTAAAATTCCATCTCAAAAAAAACCCAAAAAAAATTAACAGTTTTTCAAACAAAATAACAGAACCCACACTGAATTGGGGTAGAGGCAGAGTAGTTTTTTCTTGGGGGCTGGATGCCACTAAATAGAACTTAGAGGGCAGACTTTCTGCCTTGGAAAGTTAAGATGCTGTGACTGAGGATAGCAAGAGGCCATCAGAGGCCATACCCACACATTGTAGCTCTCTGCTAATAAGAGTCAGAGGCCCCTGGGAGGGAATTGAGCATTTGTGTGGTAAATTGTACTGAAATTCCTGATGCCACTGAAAGTTGTGTGGTGAACTTCATGGAAGTTTGTCTCCTTACTTTTTAAGTCCTGCTGGTGGGTTTTTTGTTTTTGTTTTTGTTTTGTTGTTGTTGTTGTTGTTTGTTTTGATACGGAGTCTCACTCTGTCACCCAGGCTGGAGTGCAGTATCACAATCTCGGCTCACTGCAATCTCTGCCGCCCAGGTTCAAGCAATTCTCCTGCCTCAGCCTCCTGAGTAGCTGGGATTACAGGCACCTGCCACTGTGCCCAGCTAATTTTTGTATTTTTAGTAGAGACAGGGTTTCACCAGCTTGGCCAGGCTGGTCTTGAACTTCTGACCTTGTGATCCACCCACCTTGGCCTCCCAAAGTGCTGGGATTTCAGGCATGAGTTACTACAACTGGCCTTTTTTTTTCCCCCAAGTGTTGATCCAGGGCTTTATTGATTTTATCTGTCAGAGAATGAGAGCTCATCTGGTTTGCATCTCATTGAAATACAGATTTGTTTGAGTGAATTGGATAAAAATCCAAACTATCACCTTTGTTAGAAGACTGTCTAAGGCAGGGGTCCCCAAACTACGGCCCGCGGGCCACATGCGGCCCCCTGAGGCCATTTATTTGGCCCCGCTGCACTTCAGGAAGGGGCACCTCTTTCATTGGTGGTCATTGAGAGGAGCACAGGAGTACTGTATGTGACAGCGCCACAAAGCGCGGCATCGCTCACGTACAGTACTACTTACGGTGACGCCGGACGCACGCCTCACGGCTCTGGAAGCATGTCACATGACGCACATCCGGTCTGTGGCTGCAGCACCCCACATCACTGGAAGCAGTGTGAAATAACAGCAGAAGTAGGAAGAAAGGCAAAACACTATAACCATTACTACACAGTACAGTGGTCCCCATACTCCCCTAAATGTACAACAACATAATGGCCCCTATAACCTCCCTTTGCCCAAAAGTCTCCCCCCACATTACTACACACCGTGTTTCCCCTATTATAAGACCCTGTCTTATATTAATTTTACCCCCAAAAGACAGGGGCTGTCTTATTTTTAGGAGGTGTCTTATAATAGGGGAAACATGTAGCAGTGGGCTTCCCACAGAAGAGGCCCACCGCTGCTGCAGATGTCCAGGACGCTGTATACACAGTGTCACAGGCTGATCACCGCCATCCCTGTATACAGCACTGGAGGCGGTGCTGGGCCTGTGACACTGTATACCGCTGTCTGGGATAGTGGAGGCAGCAGCGCTGGCTGTGAAGGGTGTCACACCCTGCATAGTCCGGCCCTCCAGCGGTCTGAGGGACAGTGAACTGGCCCCCTGTGTAAAAAGTTTGGGGATCCCTGGTCTAAGGGGAAAACAGTACAGATCGTTCCAAGTGACAGGCTGTGTTTTCTCCCCTAGGCAATCCTGGAGAACAACCTCCCTTCTGAAATGGCTAGCAAGATCAACCTTGTGGACCTAGCAGGCAGGTAATTAGGTTTTCAAAGCTAAGGGGAATTGCTTTTGTTCCTGCCTGTTTTACAGGGAATAAGCTGTTTCAATCTTTTTCACATTTCAGTCATCCTGAGAATATTACAAAAGAAACAAACTCTTTGAATGCTAGGTTAAGAAGTTATTTTCTAGGGGCTGAAAAGTTCCTCCACATCAGGGATTCTCAATCTTGGTTGCACGTTATATCACCTGAGGACCTTTTCTTTTTTCTTTTTCTTTTTTTTTTTTAAATATGGAACGCTTCACGAATTTTTTCTTTTTTCAAACAGTCTCACTCTGCTTCCAAGGCTCTAGGCTGGAGTGCAGTGGTATGATCATGGCTCATTGTAACCCTGAACTACTTGGCTCAAGTGACCCTCCTGCCTCAACCTCTCCAGTAACTGGGAATACAGGGATGTGCCACCACATCTAGCTTTTTTTTTTTTTTTTTTTTTTTGGAAGAGACAACATCTCATTAAGTTGCCCAGGCTGGCCTCGAACTCCTGGCCTTGGGCGATTCTTCTGCCTCAGTCTTCCAAAGTGCTGGAATTTCCAGCATAAGCCACTGCACCTGGCCACCTGAGGACCTTTTGAAACTTCCCATACCTATACCTTAAATTAGATAAATCAGATTATTAGTGAGGTTGGTGGGAGTGCAGGCATCAGGGCTGCACTGTTAAAGCTGCCCAGGTGATTCCAATGTATAGGAAAGATTAAAAGAAAAAATCACTGAATTAGTATACCTTTTTTTCTTTGATTTAATATTGATGTTATGGTTTCTTTAATATTGATTTTTATGCAGTTCTTTAAAAAAAGTTTTACTTGGTGGTGTACATCTATTGTCCCAGCTATTCAGGAGACTGAGGTGGGAGGATCACTTGAGCGCAGGAGTTTGAGGCCAGCCTGGGCAAAATTACAACATAGCTCAACCCTATCTCTAAAGAAAAACAAGTTTTAAAAGTCTGGAGAGGTTAAGAAGATATTGCCTTGTAGGAATTAGAAGGAATCACGAATCGTAATTGCATATGTATTTAGAAAGACGTAGTCTTGAGGGGGATAATGTAATCACAGGAAAATGTAAGATAAAATAAGGTAAATTTTATTTTAAAACTGTTGGGTAATTAATACGGTACAGTATTCCCTTAAGGACTAAGTGCTTTTTGAAGGAAAGTATGTCAGCCAATTGGAAGTGTGAATTTTTAGTATTTCCCATTTACTGGAAAAAGGAATTCAAGGCTGGGTATGGTGGCTCACGCCTGTTAATCCCAGCACTTTGGGAGGCTGAGGTGTGTAGATCATGAGGCCAGGAGTTTGAGAACAGCCTGGTCAACATGGTGAAACCCTGTTTCTACTAAAAATACAAGAAATTAGCTAGGCCTGGTGGCATGCTCCTGTAGTTACAGCTGCCCGGGAGCCTGAGGCAGGAGAATTGCTTGAATCCAGGAGGTGGAGGTTGCAGTGAGCCAAGTTCATTCCACTGCACTCCAGCCTGGGTGACTAGAAACTGTCTCTTAAAAAAAACAAACCGGAATTCAAAACTCTTGTCAGTTAATGACACAAATACCATAGAGCTATGAATACATGAATTTAAGATAATATAGGGGAGACATGAATATACCCAAAAGCCATGCTAATATCATTACTGTAAATGAGCATTACATTTAGCATAAAGTGTTCTGACAGTCAAAATAAAAATAGAAACCTAATGAATTATTTGATTTTTATTGCCTCAGAAAGTCCAGTTCATTGTAACATTTTTTTCTGAAACTGCATTCTAAAAGGAATTTATTATGTGAGTCTTTTACAGCTTGATGTACAGCATAATGGATAGTATTTTTCAACAGCATTATAGTGTCCTGTTTGCTTTTGTTTCTGTTTTTATTGACTGTTTTAGTGAAAGAGCAGATCCCAGTTACTGTAAGGACCGGATTACTGAAGGAGCCAATATCAACAAGTCCCTTGTGACTCTGGGAATTGTCATCTCCACCTTAGGTATTTTGCTGATAGATGATTGCAGTGGGAGGGAGACTTTGGAAAATAACTCATGTTTTCATTTTGTGACAATAAAGTAGACACAAGGTTCCTTTTGATAATGTTATCTTCTGGTTTGGGGCATGAAAAAATGATACTTGTCCTTGGTTTTAGAGTACAATACTATCCTACTACCATCATTTCCAAAAGAGGGGAGTCTAAAAAATTATGTGGCTCAATCATTTCATATCATGAGTCTAAAGTCTTTAGAAATATCTAAAACATCCTATTGTATATGGAAAGGGATTAGGAAATATGATACTTAAGTCTGTGTTATCCAACCATTGTTTTGTTTTAGTGTATTTGCTCCGTAATTCCTTCTTTCTTCCATTTTCTTGTTTTGTCTTTAAGCCCAGAACTCCCAAGTTTTCAGCAGCTGCCAGAGCCTCAACAGCTCAGTCAGCAATGGTGGTGACAGTGGGATCCTTAGCTCTCCTTCTGGGATCAGCAGCGGAGGGGCACCCTCCCGAAGGCCGTTTTTTATACCATACCGAGACTCTGTGTTGACCTGGCTGCTGAAGGACAGCCTTGGAGGGAACTCTAAAACCATCATGATTGCCAGTGAGTGGGATGCCAGAGCTGGATCTGTGTTGAGACTGGTACTCTGTCTTAGAGAAAGGGCCATGGCCACCCAGGTTTCTCATTTCATCAGGGGTCTTAGATAGCGTGGGCAGTAGTAGCAACGCAAATGATTAAAGGCTGGGATGGATGGGACTGGCTTGTTTTTAAACTTTCTCCTTCTACCTCAGCGGTGTCTCCTGCACACACTAGCTACAGTGAGACCATGAGCACACTGAGATATGCATCCAGTGCCAAAAACATTATCAACAAGCCACAAGTAAATGAGGTGAGACCTTTTCAGAAGTCCTGGTCTGGTATAGTTTTACACAAAGCTCTCTGTATTTTTTCTCTCTCATTGATCTTTCTCTTTATACTCACCTCAACTTGCCAGACTTGTTCTCCAAATGATGAGGGAGTAGAATTCTTTCTTCTGTCATCTTCTCTCCTATCTCTACTGCCTTTATTCAGTAACATTTTATGAATAACTGACTGTAGATACTTCTCTAATGCCATCCCACTTAAGATTCCCTAGTTTAGCATTACCACTCTAAGAAAGGTCATTTATTTTTTATTATTTTATTTTTAGAGACAGGATCTTGCTCTGTCACCCAGGCTGGAGTGCAGTGGTGCAGTAATGGCTCACTGTAAGAACGTTCATTTAAAAAGTTTGTCTCTACTGCTTTTATTTTGAATTTACATTGATTTACACCTGAGTTTTTGTATCTGTTGCCCAGGCTGGAGTGCAGTGGCACTATCATGGCTCACTGCAACTTCAGCCTCCAGGGCTTAAGCAGTAATCCCACCCCAGCCTCCTGAGGAGCTGGGACCACAGGTGCATGCCACCACATTAGGCTAATTTTAAAAGTTGTTTTTGGTTTTGTTTTTTGTAGAGGCAAGGTCCCACAATATTGTCCAGGCTGGTCTCAAAGTCCTGGACTCAAATGATCCTCCAACCTCAGCCTCCCTAAGTGCTGGGGTTACAGGTGTGAGCCAGGTACCCTGTCTTATGCCTGTGTGTGGTTTTTTTTTTATGCCATTTGTCTGTGTTTTTTTGGTATGCAAATTGTTGTGACTTTGCTGTTTAAAAGGAGAGTGTAGGAATTCATTGGTTTTTGTTTTATCCTTTAATGTTCTTTCACTTGCTTTTCTTCTCTGCCCACACAGAACTATTCTTTGGTTTTTGAAAGCTAAATGAGAATTTTCCAAACATTTCTTCACAATTTCAATGAAAAGTTCCAGAGCAGGGATCATACCTGGTCGCCAGACACACTACATATATGTGTGTGTGTATATATGTATGCATACATATATATGTGTGTATATACATATATGTACATATATACACACACATAATCCGTATGTAGACTGTTTTAAAAAGGCAATGTAATTAGGCAGTATTAGGCTTAGTCACAATACGGGAAAGTTGGCACCTGCTACCTGTATACACCCTGGCTTTTGTGTTACCAGCTTGACCTGCCCTAGGGAAATGATTCTCAAAGTTTACTGTGTATCAGAATCACCTGGAGGGTTTGTTAGACACCCCCCCCCCCCCCCCCCCCCCCCCCCCCGCTAGGCCCCAGTCCTTCAGAGTTTCTGATTTAGTAGGTCTGGGAGGGCCAAAGGGTGCATTTCTAACAAGTTCTTAGGTGAAGTTGATGCTGCAGGGCCTGGGATCACACTTGACAATGATTGGCCACTGTAGAGCTTACTCCAAAAGAGTAATCCACCTCTTCCAAGCCAATTGCAAATAGCATTTCACAGCTGAGTGGGACTTGGTATCAATCAGTGGTGATTGAGTTCTCTGTGTCTCAGGATGCAAATGTAAAGCTGATTAGAGAACTCAGAGAAGAGATTGAAAGACTGAAAACCCTGCTGCTGAGCTTTGAACTGGTAAGCAGACAGTAAGAATCTCTCCATGCTTAAGTGAAATTCTACTTCTGAGCCTTCTTTCTTCTCCGTAGAGTTTGGGCTCTGCTCCATTCCATGTTCTCAATGGACTTTCATGAAGCAGAGACAGGAGCAGAAACAAAACAGATTTCTCTGTGTAGCTTCAGATGGTGTGTGCATTTTTTCACTTTATCATCTGTTGTCTTGTGCCTGAATGGTCCTTGCGCTGTGTGGGCAGATACGGAGAATAGGGCCCTCTCAGGAAAATTTCTTTGAATTTTTCTTCTTTGTACCAATGTGAGCCCAAATACTTAGGTTCCTGATTTATTTCTCATTTTAATGATAAAGTCTTCCTTTATCTGCATCTTTTCTTTCTTCACAAGTGTAAGGGTGGGACATGCCTTAAGTTCAGACCAGGAGAATATCAAAGCACATCTCTGTCTTTGTGCAGAGAAACTTCACTTCATTGAATGATGAAAAGGATGAAAACTTGAAGAAGCTGGTTCTCCAAAATGAATTGAAGGTGGGTGTGTTGGGTGGATTTAGTTGTGCTTTACATCACCTTGGGAGCTCCCTGTATTATTTGCGGCTAGATAGGGTTGCTCCCTTGGCAGGGCAGAGAAGAGTTGTCTACTTTAAAGACAATGTTTGTTACTTTTAAGCCTTAACCAGGGGTTGTGTTTGCCTAGGGAACTGTTAACGGCTTTCAGTCTTTCAGTATTGTTCTCTGAGGGATTCGTAAGTCCTTTGGGTAGTGAGAGTAGCCTGGGGCGGGGGAGACTATTTTCTTGTCTGTAAATCAGTCAACCAAGATGCATTCATTGTTTGAGGATGAAATAGGTGCTCAGCTTGATGCTGCAAGAGGTACAGAGAAGTCCCTGCCCTCACATGGTTTGCAGTCTAATTGGAAACAAATTTAGAGAATGATCTTTTTCATGAACCATGTGATTTAGATGAAAACAGTCTAGGAAAGGAAGAAATCATTATGGCTTGGGATTTTCAGAGCAGACATCATGTGTTCGTGTTGGAAGGTAGAGAACTGACCTTGAGGTAGCCCTTGAAGTGTTGTTAGATAGGGAGAAAGGGAGTAAGGGACTGGGTGAGGGAGGGTTAACATGAGCTAAGCCTTGAACCTGGGAGAAAAGGAAGGGATGTGAGAGACCACATGGAAGCACACACTGTGAGGAAAACTAAGCTGGTTAGAATGGGTGTTCATGGTAGAGGGTAGTGAAGGTAAGGTTAGGGCAAGTTTAGAAGGTTTGAACTTTGTGTAAACAGGATTAATAGCTTCTTGAATCAGGTGACATAATAAAGGAGTATCTTTGGGAAATTAATATGATAGTTGTATGCAGGATGAATTGAAAGGTGGGAAGACTGGAAGCAGGGGACCAACCAGGAAAGAGACTTTTGTAACCCAGTGAGGGCAAGGACAGGACATTTTTAAAAGTAGAATAAAGGTGATTCTCAGAGACATTTCTTTCTTTCTTTCTTTCTTTCTTTCTTTCTTTCTTTCTTTCTTTCTTTTTTTTTTTTTTGAAAGGGATTCTCACTGTCACTCAGGCTGCAGTGCAGTGGCGTGATCTAGGCTCACTGCAACCTCCACCTTCCAGGTTCAAGCGATTCTCCTGCCTGTGCCTCCCAAGTAGCTGGGACTACGGGTGTCTGCCACCACCACACCTGCCTAATTTTTGTATTTTTACCAGAGATGTGGTTTCACCACATTGGCCAGGCTGGTCTCGAACTCCTGGCCTCAGGTGATCTGCCTGCTTTGGCCTCCCAGAATGCTGGGATTATAGGTGTGAACCACTGCACCCGGACCCCAGAGACATTTAAAAGGAAGAAATGGTGGGCAGTTTGTTGTTGTTGTTGATGGGTTAGATTTATTTTTTATTTTTATTTTGAGATGGAGTTTTGCTCTTGTTGCCCAGGATGGAGTGTAGCGGTGTGATCTAAGCTCACTGTAACCTCTGCTTCCTGGGTTTAAGCAATTTTCCAGCCTCAGCCCTCCGAGTTGCTGGGATTAGACGAGCTCACCGCGACGCCTGGCTAATTCTTTTGTATTTTTAGTAGAGACAGGATTCTACCACGTTGGTCAGGCTGGTCTCAAACTCCTGACCTCAGGTAATCCACCTGCCTCGGCCTCCCAAAGTGCTGGCATTATAGGCATGAGGCACCACACCCAGCCAATGGGTTCAATTTAAATCCTACAACCAAATGTTTCCATTTCCAATATTCTGTTGCATCATCCTTATATGTTATTAAAGTATCTTGTCCATGTTAACATTTTATTACCCTAACTAAACCTCAGGGCTAAATCACACATCTAGAAGTTTCTCTAAAAAAATTCCTCCTTCAGGCAAGGCGTGGTGGATCATGACTGTAATCCCAGCAGTTTGGGAGGCTGAGGCGGGTGGATCACGAGATCAAAAGTTCAAGACCAGCCTGGCCAAGATGGTGAAATCCTGTCCCTACTAAAAATACAAAAATTATCCAGGCACAGTGGCAAGCACCAGTAACCCCAGCTACTCGGGAGGCTGAGGCAGGAGAATTGCTTGAACCCAGGCAGAAGAGGTTGCAGTGAGCCGAGATCCTCCTTTAGTCATGTATTTTGATTTTTGGTTCAGAAAATATCATCCCTCTATACTAAGAGATGAAGTAGAAGAGCCAAAATCATTCCAAACTCATTAGCATTCTGGCATTATGCAGGCCAGCTGAGCTGGACTCGAACCTGCCCCTTCTTTGCTGTATTATCTTAGGCAGTGTAGGAGCAGGTAATTTTAAGCAGTATAGGAGTAGGCAGAGGGGCAGCTGTGCCAGGTTGGCTAAACTGTAAGCCATAGTGCCATGCTGCTCACCAATCCCAGGGGTCCGTATACAACCCAGCCCTTTACAGGTACCCTGTAGTTTCCTGGCTTCCAAACTTCAACTCAATGATTATTAAAATTATGTTTCTAGGGTACGTAAAGTTCTTGTACCTAAACCTAGCGTGATTTTTTTTAAGTGTTCCCTTTATGAGAGAAGTACTTACCTAAATCTAATTTTTTTTTTTTTCCCCTGAGCTTCCTCATTTCTTCCACTCCTAGGATAAGCTCATTGCTTAGGCATCAGTTTCCAGCAAAAGAAGAAAAAGGACCCTACATTTAACACTGTGCATGTCCCTAAGGTGGTCTTAGCTTAGGGCCTTTAAGCCTAGGCATATTTACTTTTAAAACTCTGTACCTAATACACAGTAAACAGTATTTTACTGTTATTATTGTTTTTATTGTATTATTATGTAATCTTCCAGACAGGTTCCATATAGTCTTAGTTCCACCTGGGGAGTTTCCTCTCTCAGTGCTTTGTGGTTCTGTGAGCCATGTGCAAGCTTATATGATAATTTAAGGTACTGCACCTTGGGAAAGAAGTGTTAGGTCATAAAAGGATTTCCAAGTATGGGTCATATAGAAGTGGGGTGGGGAAAGAGAATTGTAAATATATTAAACATCCAGTTGATTTTTTTTAAATAACATGTTTTTTCTAATTATAAAAACAATACATGCTCATTGCAGAAAACTTTAAAGATAATAATTATTGAGGGGGCTGCTTCTGTTTATAAAAGTAACACTTGCTTATTGAAGAAAAGTTGGAAAACACAGCTTGCAGCTGAAGGAGGTACAAGGGCTTCTGTGGGGGCTTTGAATAGTATCTGTGAGGATCATAAGAAAGTAGTACCTGGGGGAAATACAAATAGGTCGTAATGACTTCCGACCTTTAGTCCGTTCCCCATGCTGAGTGTCTCAGATCACCTCCTATGCCTCCACAGATAGACCAGCTGACTAAAGACTGGACCCAGAAGTGGAATGATTGGCAGGCCCTCATGGAGCATTACAGTGTGGACATCAACAGGAGGAGGGCTGGTGTGGTCATCGACTCCAGCCTGCCACACTTGATGGCCTTGGAGGATGATGTGCTCAGCACAGGTGTTGTGCTGTATCATCTCAAGGTGAGGAGACTGGTGTATCCTTTTCTTCCTAAGCCACTGGCCCCAGAAGTCAAGGAGGGAAAAGCTAGGAGCAGCAGCCAGGTTTCTATGAATTGAAATCAAGACAGATGCCACAGAGCTGCCTTCAGTTTTGTTCTCAGGAAACTGGTCTACCTAACAAATTGTGATCTGTTTTGCTTTTGTATGTATAGAGCAGAAGACTGGAAATTAGAACATTTGTTTTTCAACTGCTGCTACTGTTGTTCTTATATAACTTACTTTTGTTCTCCGTGCCTTAATTTCCTCGTTTTAAAGAATGATGCTTACCTGCTGGGTGCGGTGGCTCACACCTCTAATCCCAGCCCTTTGGGAGGCCAAGTAAGACGCTGTCTCAAAAATAAATAAATAAAATAAATAAAAATAATGTTTAAAAAGGTGGCTTTCAGAGACTAAAGGGGGAATTCAAAAGATATAAAGTTTTCTTCTGATACTTCCCCACTTCATTCAACCCCAAATTAACAAGCACTATGCCTCCCACTTCTCCCTCACTACATTTACCTGGAAAAAGAGAGAGAAAAAGTAGATAAAGGAAGCTTAAAACATAAGGAGAGCCCAAAGAGCTAGAGTGGTGTGATGGTAGGGGAAGAGGGGATGACAGGCATCCATCTAGAAAAAGATTGAAGTTAAGGCTTCCAAACAGGACCTGCCCACCTGGCTCTGTGTCACCTGGAGGCCAGTCCTCATTTCTGATTGAAGTGGTTTTGAGAGTTGGTGACCTATGGTAGATGGAGTCTTTTATCTTGTTCTCATCAATGTGTTCTACTATGGGAGGTCAGTTCCTATGCATGGCAGAACATATTTCACATGCTCAAAATCCCTGTGCTCACTGAAAATCTAGTTTTCATTCTCATAATTATCCCCAGCGGACATTTAAAAAGAACAGAGAGTTTCTGTGGAATATGTAATGCTGCTGTTATCCCTGGAGAAACTGGACTCCTTCCTCGTGCTGCAGAGCATATGGAAGTGAGATGTTTGCAAAGCTCATCGGTGTTTTTAGGATAAGCCCCTTGGGAAGTTGTCGGAGACTGAACTCCTCTGACAGCAGATTTAGAGTAGCTTATTTTCTGGTACATGGAGCATAAGTTTTCTTAGTGAAAGTGCCTAAGGCAGAAGTGGCTCACAACTTTTACCTTAGCAATAGAACTAAACACCAAATGGCTGTATAGATCCCCCCCATTAGTCAGAACAACAGAGAGAGGTTGGAGGTCAGGAAGAGATCAGATAGATTAAAATGGTCAGTATTTGAGTAGAACTAATTTGATATATGAATTGGATGTGGAGTCAATAGCCGAAGCTAGAAATCAAGTAGCAGAGCTTAGGGTAGCAGCAGAGGATTAAAGGACTTGACTATTAGATTGAATCATAGACACGGAGATGAACGATGACCTCATCTGAAGATTGCTAATTTTTTTTTTTTTTTTTTTTTGAGATGGAGTCTCACACTGTTGCCCAGGCTGTAGTGCAGTGGTGCAATCTCAGCCCACTGCAATCTCTACCTCCTGGGTTTGAGCAATTCTCCTGCCTCAGCCTCCCAAGTAGCTGGGACTATAGGCATGTGCCACCACACCAGCTTTTTTTTTTTTTGTATTTTTAGTAGAGATGGAGTTTCTCCATGTTGGCCAGGATGGTCTCAATCTCCTGACCTTGTGACCCACCTGCCTTGGCCTCCCAAAGTGCTGGGATTACAAGCATGAGCCACTGCGCCCAGACTGCTGATTTTTTTTTCTTTTCTTTTCTTTTTTTTGAGATGGACGGTGTCTTGCTCTGTTGCCCAGGCTAGAGTGCTATAGCACAATCTTGGCTCACTGCAACCTCTGCCTCCTGGGCTCAAGTGATTCTTCTGCCTTAGCCCCCTGCATGGCTGGGATTATACCACCATGCCTGGCTAATTTTTGTGTTTCTAGTAGAGATAGGGATTCACCATGTTGGCCAGGCTGGTCTTGAACTCCTGACCTCAAGTGATCCACCCACTTTGGTCTCCCAAAGTGCTGAGACTGCAGGTGTGAGCCCCCACGCTCCGCCGGATTGCCGATTTTCATTGCTTAGTCAGTGCATAGTTAGGATTTTACTCCCTTCCTGGTGTATTTCCAGTGGACCTGGGTAATGAGATTTTAGTCTAGTTCTAATCCTGGCATTTCTACATTTTGTGTACTCCCCCCCCACCTTTTGTTTGTTTGTTTAGCTATTGACTTAGGTAATAGTATTAACAGTAATGGCCCAAGATTCTGTTTGTTGTTATTGATTGTTTTCTTGCCAAGTGGGATGCCACTGTTGGGGTTACTACCTGTAGGGGTTTGTCTTGCAGACCTTGGCTCAGCAACGGATGAATAAAGTACATTGACACACAGATATTATGCTTTACCAGTTTGGCTGAGGGTTTGTGGCCACTTACAGACTCCTTGGAGAATGCTGTAAAGAGATAGCCTGTGGCCTTCACCAGCCAGTGAGACTTGCATTTATTTAGTAAAGTTTAATTTACAAAGGCTTGAAGTAACACCACTAGAGTGAAAGATTAAAGGATGGATTTTGATGCCTAAAGCAAACACCATTACTGGATAATATCCCTGGTCAGCTGGGTGTGGTGGCTAACATCTGTAATCCCAACACTTTCGGAGGCCAAGGCAGGTGGATCACCTGAGGTCAGGAGTTTGAGACCAGCCTGATGTACATGGAGAAAGCCTGTCTCTACTAAAAATACAAAATTAGCCGGGCATGGTGGCGCATGCCTGTAATTCCAGCTACTCAGGAGGCTGAGGCAGGAGACTCACTTCAACCTGGGAAGTAGAGGTTGTGGTGAACTGAGATCGCACCATTGCACTCTAGCCTGGGAAAGAAGAGTGAAACTCCGTCTCAAAAAAAAAAGAGAAAAATCCCTGGTCATCTTCCCCCTGAGAGGGCTATCTGGCTGAAAGGTTAGTTTTAAGACCACATGAGTAAACAAGTTAGTTAGGTAAACTTCCCCACACACCCTAAGTGTTTGCTTTATTTATTAACTAAATGTAAGGGGGATTTAGGCTGCCTTTATCTAAAACTTTTACTGAAACTGTGAAAAAAAAAAAAAAAAAAACCCTTAGGCCTAAAGGGTTTGAGACTATGTTTTATAAACTTTCTGTATTATCTTCCCTTAATATTTTTGCCACCACTGTGAGTAAATTCTCACAACTGATATGCTGGACTTCATCCTCATAATTGCCTTTGTGCCACTAACTCTCCCTACATAAAGAGGCAGAGTGGACAGCAAGCACAGATGCCAGCCAGCTCAGTCTTTGTTATCTGAGATGTCATCACCTTCTTTTGGTAATTTCTACCCTGCAAATCTAGAAGTTATGATGTACTGTAGCCTTTATCTTTTTAGCAGGGCTGTCCCTGAACTTACATGAAAAGTTTTGACCTTTTTTCCTTGAACTGCCCTCTGATTCTGTTTGACAGTGTTTGTGGAGACTAGCATTTATTGACTGCTGTGGTCGTCAGTGGCTGAGCAGAAAAGTCTGGCTCTGGCTGTTTGTGTGGATGCAGAGAGGAGGGACAGGGGGATGCATTGAGGACAGAGCCTCATTCATTACTGCTAGGATTCTTCCTTCTCACAAGCTATTTTGGAGGAGTGTCAGGGACCTCCCTGCTCTGGCTGTTGATGGTGAAGCCTAGTGGGGAATTATCTGGTCTCCTTAAAAACATTACTGATCAGCTGCGGTGGCTCACTCTTACAATCCCAGCGCTTTGGAAGACCGAACCTGGTGGATCGCCTGAGGTCAAAAGTTGAAGACCAGCCTGGCCAACATGGCGACATCTCATCTCTACTAAAAATACATAAATTAGCTGGCCATGGTATTGGGTACCTGTAGTCCTAGCTACTCAAGAGGTTGAGGGAAAGGAATCGCTTGAACCTGAGAGGCAGAGATTACTGTGAGCCCAGATTACACCACTGCCCTCCAGCTTAGTCGTCAAAGTGAGACCCCATCTCAAAAAAAAAAAAAAAAAAAATTCCTTACTGGGGAGGTGTTATGGTGAAGGTGGAAAAGCCTGAAGAGGCATAGGATCCAAAGAGACCTGAATTCTAATCATAGCTCTCCTATTTGGTATGTGGGTTGCTCAGTCAGTTTATCCCCCGTGAGCTTCAGATTCCTCATCAATAAAAAGGTGATGGTGATAGCTATATTTTGAGTTGTTAAAGGGTAAAATAATATGATTTCCATAAAGTACTCAGCATAATGCCCAGGACATATTGAATGGTTAGTCAATAAATGATAAAGATGTATCTAAAAATATATCTAAAAGTTAGCATCGTGATTGCCATGTTGCTGCCTTTTCCTAACAGAGCTATGTGGGTCTTAAGCAAATTTGCCATAATCCAAGGTCTAAAAGGCCTTGTCTTCAACTAATCAGCTGATTCATTTACACTAACTCCAGTTTCCCCCTCCTCTCTTATACTCTCTTTCAGTTCTTTTTTATGCTAGAGGTGCTTTTCTCCTATTTATGCTTTTACCCTTCTTAGAATCTGGTGTCTGTTAAACTTCATCTGCGGACCAAGAAGGTAAAAATGCTGTGTTTCCATAAGTCTTTGCAAAATGCTTGTTTCTTTGAGACTTACTGGATCAAACTTGGAGAACACTACCCTTTACCCCTTAGGGAAAAGCCATGCTTTTGCATGTACTTTCTCAGACTAGAGAATTTTTCTGACCAGTGGCTGTAACTATTGCCTAACTTTAGGCTATGGGACAGAAAATAGTTTGCCAACTCTTGTTGAACTTTGCAAATAGCTTGTGCTGCTTTGTGGTATATATTTTAGCTTTACCATTTCAGGGGCTTCCTGGGCTGTAGCATGAGTTGGCAGAGGGTCAGAACAACTTGGACTGAAGTTCAGAACTAGTACAGACAAGGAAGGGGTGGGATGAGAAGTAGAACAGACAAGGCTGGGAAGACAGTGAGAACATTCTAATATGGACTTTCTTGTAGGGCAAGGCTCTGTCCCTTTTCATTCTCATTAAAATGGCTTTTTTCACCCTTTAGGAAGGGACAACAAAAATAGGAAGGATTGACTCAGAGCAGGAACAGGACATTGGTAAGTGACAGAGCATATGAGTCCAACATTTTGGGGCAAATATTTGTGCCTGAAAGGTTTCTTCAGAGGACTCTGATGATGCTCTGAGAAGAAGAGAATCACTGAAGTTTTCAGGGCCTGCTTCTCTTTCTGGGCTATGTTTTAGGTCTGGGACCTGAAGAGGGAGACCCACACAGTGGGAGGATTTCAGGTCTGGGTGGTTTCAGGTCAGTCATCCCTCTCTTGTTATGGTATGAGGTCTTCCAGATGTTGGATTCTGATCTCACAGAAATGGAGAGGGTGTTTCCCTGAATTGTCCCCCTACCCAACTGACCACCACCTCTTTCATAGTCCTGCAGGGTCAGTGGATCGAGAGAGACCACTGCACTATCACCAGTGCCTGTGGGATAGTTGTTCTCCGGCCTGCCCGTGGGGCCCGCTGTACAGTCAATGGCCGGGAGGTCACTGCCTCCTGCCGTCTGACCCAAGGTAGGACTGTCTACTACCCTGTTTATACCAAAAGGAGTGATGAACCAGCTCTAGTCTCATGAGCCCAGAGAACTCAGTGAAGCAGGCTCTAAAAATGGTTCACTCTGGCTGGGCACGGTGGCTCACAACTGTAATCCCAGCACTATGGGAGGCTGAGGCGGGTGGATCACCTGAGGTCAAGAGTTCGAGACAAGCCTGACCAACATGGCGAAACCCCATCTCTACTAAAAATACAAAAATTAACAGGTTGCAGTGAGCCGAGATCACACCATTACACTCCAGCTTGGGTGAAAAGAGCAAAACTCCATCTCAAAATAAATAAATAAATAAATAAAAAGAATCACTCTTAGCTGAGCACAGTGGCTTATGCCTGTAATCCCAGAATTTTGGGAAGCTGAGGCAGGTGGATCACCTGAGGTCGGAAGTTCAAGACTAGCCTGACCAACATGGAGAAATGCCATCTCTGCTAAAAATACAAATTAGCCGGGCCTGGTGGCACATGCCCGTAATCCCAGCTACTCAGGAGACTGAGGCAGGAGAATCACTTAAACCCAGGACACAGAGGTTGCAGTGAGCTGAGATTGCAACATTGCACCCCAGCCTGGGCAACAAGAGTGAAACTCCATCTCAAAAAAAAAAAAAAAAAAAAAAAAAAAAAGAAAAGGATCACCCAGCCTTTGCACCCTGAAGTCTGAAGATTTTCTATTCCCATAAGCAAGGCTTAATTCCAAAGTCTTGGAGTGAAGAATAAGTCTATGAAATTTTTACCTGTGTTCATTAGCTCTGTTTCCTTAGGAAAGTTTCTGAGTCTAACTTACTTCATCTGTAAAATGGGGATAATAGTAGGATCATTGTGAGGATTGAATGAACGTTATAGTTCTTAATAGTGTACTTGTCACTCAGTAAACATTCATTATTACTACCATTACCACTACTATTATTAATCTATGCAAATTCTATCTGTCCTTTGAGACTGAACTTAGATTCCTGCTCTTCCATCAAGTGTTTCCTGACTACTCTAGCTGGAACTCAACTTCCTTTCCCTTGGAGTACTAGAGTTCTTCCTGTCTAATTTACTAATTCAAGATGTGTGCTGTGAGATACAGAATTAATATATATCTTATCAACTCAGCAAAATTATCAGTTATTGAGGGCATGACTTTGTCTCACAGTACAGTGCCCTGCACATAGTATGTACTCCAAAATACGAGCTGTTGATTGAATTCTCATTTGTCCCTGTGCCGCAGGAGCCGTCATAACCCTGGGGAAGGCACAGAAGTTCCGATTCAACCACCCAGCAGAGGCTGCTATCCTGAGGCAGCGAAGGCAGGTTAGCAGGGCTGTGTTTTCTAGGTTATTGCTAGCCTCCCTGTTTGTGATTTTTATAGGAAAAGCAAAGGAGAGGGTGGGTGATGATAGCAGCCTCACTATGCTTTCTTCTTTGTTCAAGGTTGGAGAGGCTGCTGCTGGTGGTGGCTCCTTGGAATGGCTGGACTTGGATGGAGATCTCACTGCCTCCCCACTGGGTCTCTCTCCTTTGCTTTGGAAGGAAGGGTAAGAAATAGCTGATCATACTGATGTGGAGCCTATTGGGTTTGCTTCTTAATCCACTACAGCGTGGATCAGAGTGGGGGTGGGGTGTGATTAATGTTGCAGCCAGGATCTGAATGAGCCCTTGTCTGAATCAACTTGGGCAAATCATTTGATGATGCTGAACTAGCTGCTAAGTTTGTAGCTGGCAGGGAAGTGGTCTTGGCCCTCATTCATTTCCTCTTTGGTATTTCAACTTTTTTCATAATTGAAAGAGGTATATTATTTGATGTTCCTATGGCTGCTTTCCTCTCTCCCCAAAATTTAGCTGTGATGTGTTTGTGGATATCTTTGATATGGATTCTGACCTTACCTCCCTATATATGCCTTCAAGTTCTGGCCTGCTTATGTGGGAGCTCATAGTGTATGTCACATAGTGTATGTGAGCTCATAACTTCCAGAACTTAGGGCTTTTTTTGAGTTTTTAAAGAGTGTGTGACTGAGAATCCTTTCTTTCTCATAACCGAGAAACCAGAATTCTGCATGAGGGGCAGGAACTATAGAAACAATATGAAAATATCTTTGGGTTTTACCCTCTCATACCCACTTTACCTGCATTGTAACCATGAGATGTTGAGTCAGAGTTGGTTTTTCTTGAGAGGGAGTCTCGTTCTGTCTCCTAGGCTGGAGTGCAGTGGGGGCGATCTCAGCTCACTGCAGCCTCTGCCTCCTGGGTTTAAGCGATTCTCCTGCCTCAGCCTCCTGAGCAGCTGGGATTACAGATGCCTGCCAGCATTCCCGGCTAATTTTTGTATTTTTAGTAGAGATGGGGTTTTATCATGTTGTTCAGGCTGGTCTCGAACTCCTGACCTTGTGATCTGTCCACCTCGGCCTCCCAAAATATTGGGATTACAGGCTTGAGGCACCACACCTGGACAAGTCAGAATTTTATGTGATTGATGGCAACTACTTTTCTACTTCATACTTCATCCATTTCTACATAAAACACCCTTCCCATATCTAGATGCCTTGCAGGTTTGGTACTGGGAGTCCTATTCCTGTATGTGAAAGTGACCTTTGCCTTAGAGATTTCCTTTAGAAAACTTCAGCAGGGGAATTGGTGCCTGTGACATCACTGAGGCTTGAGCACAGGGTCTCAGTAGAGTTATGATGGTCCATGGTTTCTTCAGAAGGATCTACCTGTTCTTTCCTCAGGCTAGCAGCCTTCGATGGCAGATGAAGAGAGTTTTATGTCTGAGCTGGGCAGTGAGGAGTGTTAGATATAGGAGCAAAAGTGCTCTGATTCAGGAAGTATGAACAGCAGGCAAGTCCTCATAGGAGAGTTGTTCAGTGAAGGATGTTACAAAAGAAATTTAATGAAGGATAATCCTAGTGTTGAGTAACTGAGAGTCTATGGGATGGAGAGTAAGGTAGAAGAGGTGACACCAGGTGGACTCAGGACTGAGGCTGGAGCTTTTGCTTTGTCAGAGCGATTATACTTTTTTTGTAGTGAAGTCATGAAAGTAGCTCCTGTTTTAGGTAAGATTTGTTTGGGAAGACTTATTGAAGATCTGTTCTTCTAAGAGTTAAGAGATTTACAGAAAACAGCACTGCAATTTAAATAGGTGAGAGTGGAGGAGATGCATTGCAGCAGACAAAACTGGTTCACATCCTGGCTATATTACAGAAAAGCTGTGAGGCCTTAGGCAAGTCACTGAACCTCTGAGCCTATTTCCCTACCTCTAAAAAGACGATACTGTCATCTCTTTCCTAAGGATTCTTGTCTTAAACATTGAAAAAGCAAGTATATATGCACGGTGCTGACACACCCCACAACCCCCATTGCTGCCAGCAAGGCTGCCTCCCTTCCTCTTTGCTGTCCCCCTGTCTCAACCCAGCTGACATATTCATCCCAGAGTATATCATGGTGTTGTGTTCTTCTCTTGCCTTTTAAAAGTGTTCTATAGCTCTCTAGCCCCACAGGCACTGACATGACCTTTCAGAAATGCAAGAATGTGTCCTTTCATTCACAGAAGAAGGAATTTCAGAATCAAGGCCTCTCCCACCCGCTGCCTCCACTCTTGAGCACCAGCTGTAGGAGTCCGTAGGCTGGGCTGGTCCTGCCCAGCTACCGTAGCCAGCATCTGTGCTAATCCCTGGTGGAGGTGGTGTGGTGTGGTGCTCAAGCCTGTGATTGGGCAAAGGGACCAGGGAGAGGAACCTGTATGAATAGAGAAAAATATAAATTGTCAGCTGGGCTCCCAGTCTAGATTTGTGGTTGTGTTTCCATGAGAGTCTCTCCCTCTGCTCTTGGATGTGGTTGGCTCCAAAGCCTCCCTTTGTCCTAGGCTTCCTTTCCCTCATTTATCTCTGGAGTAGCGTTCATGAGGAGCCTGCAAAGCTGGAGCTAGCTCTGGAGCCAGGGGAAATTGCCAGTCTGCCTACCTTTTCTCCTTGCAGTAGTAATCTGGGCCAGAGAGGAATTTGTCTTTGAATACCTTTGCCTGTGTTCTTGGCATTTTCCGATTTGCAATTTTAGCGGGTTAACCTTAAGTGCCTAGAGCCTGGGAGACACTGTTGTTGCTGCCACTGCCGCCACTGCTGCCACTGCTGCTTTAGTAAGTAGACACTGCTGCAATTTGCTGCAGAAGCTGCCAGACCCTGAGACTGGGGGAGGGCTGTGAGAGAAGAACAGGGAGGGTGCAGTGGAGTCCTCACAAACAGGTAACTAGGCAGCAGCTGGGGGATACTGGCACTACCAGAGATGAAGGGCAGTCACCTGCTAAAGACAGAGGTCCCTTGGCTGGCAGATAAATGAAGACTTGCCTTTTGTAATCTACCCAGACATGTAGCATAAGGTTGCTGTTTTCTTTTTTCACTGGCTTTCTGGTAACTTGACAAAATGTGCTTAGCAGAGAGTCTGTTCTGTCTGATTGTGTAGCCTCTTTGGTGAACGTGCTGCATCTATTGAGATCACAGCAGACATTCTGTCTTTGCAGGTCCTATTGCTATGCAGGCAACAGTATAATAGCTGCCACTTTCTTAGCTAAAGAGTAGAGAGTGCCCCTTCTAGGGAGAAGCAAATTATACATCTGAAGGTTGAAGAGGAAGCCAGCCGAGGAAACTGAGTAATCTCAGGGAATTCAGATAAAGATCTTCTCTCAGCCTCTTGCATCTGGCGGTCTATGGATCTTAGCTGGGTTTGTCTAGGACCCTTGGATTGGCTCATGTTTGTAATTCAGCCATTTCTAGAGTCAGACAGAAATAGGAACAGTGGCCGGGCGTGGTGGCTCAAGCCTGTAATCCCAGCACTTTGGGAGGCCGAGGCGGATGGATCACAAGGTCAAGAGATTGAGACCAACCTGGTCAACATGGTGAAACCCCGTCTCTACTAAAAATACAAAAAATTAGCTGGGCATGGTGGCACGTGCCTATAATCCCAGCCACTCAAGAGGCTGAGGCATGAGAATTGCCTGAACCCAGGAGGCGGAGGTTGCGGTGAGCCGAGATCGCACCATTGCACTCCAGCCTGGGTAACAAGAGCGAAACTCCGTCTCAAAAAAAAAAAAAGAAATAGGAACAGTAATACAAGCATGATACATAGATGTATGTTTCCTGTTAACTGCTTTTTCTGTTTAGCATTAACAGGTTTTCTATTCCAGTTGTTATCCTGAGCCTCTGTGTAACAGAGAATACTCTTCTTCTTTCAGTATGCTCCGCTATGTATATTTGGCCTTTTGCCCACAGTCCACAGTAGTCAGTGCCAGTCTTCTCCTGAGCACACCCCACTCAGGTATCTGCATCTGTCCTTCTCCTCGGACCAGTTGCAGGTTGAATGACTTCATAGCCTCCTTTCCTGGGAAGAGACTTTGTTTGTGTCAGCTCCCACTTGTATTCCCCTGGGGTATTCTACCTATCCATCTTTCACTGTCCTCCAAAGGCCGTGTTACAAAATCTTAATTTTTTCCAAGGCAGAGGCGGCAAACTTTTTTTGTAAAAGGCCAGATAGTATTTTAGGCTTTGTGGGCCATATGGTCTGTGCTGCAACTACTCAGTTTTGCTAGGGTGGTGCAAAATCAGTCCTAGAGAGTACATAAATAAATGGATGTGGTTGCATTCTAATAAAACTTTATTAATAAAAACAGGCAGCAGACCAAATTTGAACTCAGGCTTTCATTTGTGGACCTCTTCTGTGATACCCACGTGATTTCACTTTGCTCTACAAAGTGGTAGATGTCTTAAAAAGAGTGGTTCCCTTAAAGCAAACTGGTCATACTGCCTAAGATATGATTCCACCATCAAACCAATAAACCAGCTTCTCTAAGCTTTGAAGTCATGACATCCTAGGGTTGTAGGGAAGGCTGGATAAAGCAGGCCTCTGGCAGAATCTGACTTTTCCCAGCCAGTCCCATCCTGTGCCCATCCTAGGGTGCCAATACAGCTGGATCCTTTAAAAACCTGAATGACAGGGATGAAGATACCCTGCAGAAAAAAGCATTTGAGGTCTTTACGTAACCACAGGGAAAGGTCAGCAAGTAGGTAGAAGCTGTCAGTTTTCAGAGTAAGCTTCTGAGCCATCTGTGGTTGTATAGGAACTTGGTTCCAGAGGCATGACTAAAATCTAGAATTTTTTAGGCCAGGCACGGTGGTTCATGCCTGTAGTGCCAGGACTTTGGGAGGCTAAGGTGGGCAGATTACTTGAGGTCAGGAATTCGAGATCAGCCTGACCAACATGGTGAAACCCCATCTCTACTAAAAATACAAGAATTAGCCAGGCCTGGTGGCACATGTCTGCATTCCCAGCTACTTGGGAGGCTGAGGCAGGAGAATTGCTTGACTCTGGAGGCAAAGGTTGCAGTGAGCCAAGATCATGCCACTGCACTCCAGCCTGGGTGGTAGAGTGAGACCTGGACTCAACAACAACAACAAAAAAAAAATCTAGAATTTTTTGTAAGCTGTTTATTATGGAAAATTTCAAATACAACACAAATTATCAGCTCATGGCTAATCTTAGTTCATTTATATCCCTCATTTCCTCTCACTGGATCTAGACAAATTAGTGACATATTTCACCAATAAATGCTCAGTGTATATCTCTGAAAGGTATGGTAGAGTCTAAAACTCTTGAATCCTATTCCAGGGCTCATTCACTGAAAACAGCTCTTGAGTAGAGACCAGCTCTCTTTTGGGTCACACAGACAGGTGTGGTTTGTGTATAAATTATCAGCTGCCTCTTGCTACCAGATCACAGAGGACCTCTGTTTCAGGGAATGGAGGTGCTGAATATATAGGAGAGAGTTTTATGCCCACAGTATTTCTGGAGCTTCTGCTTTCTTATTTCCAACATATTTTTACCAGACACCTTTTTATTCTTTTTTAAAGGACAAAACTTCTGAGTTTAGCTAAAATGTTTCTGTGTCTTTTTAAAAAGAACAACTTTCCTGGTGATTTTCCTTAACTAAAAAGAATGTGTGTTTCTGCTAAAGGCACAACTCTAAGAATATGCCAGTTTAGTGACCATTCTCCTCTCCTGCACTGTGACATCATGAGCTGCCTGTGACACCGTGCCTGTTTGTCCAAGGTTGCTGGAAGTCTAAAGTCCTCTCTACCCTGTTGAATTCAGGGGCTTTCTCGGAAGGCCTTACACTGACATCAGTTTGTCCTGAGCTTGGTTTGCATTTCCCCTTGGGTAACCTCAGCTGCTTCTGTGACAGGAAAGTACGTGAAGAACAGTGTGACGAGGACCATCAGCCACCAAGGGATGGAGAGACATCCCGCAGTGCCCAGATTCAGCAGCAGCAGAGCTATGTGGAGGATTTGAGGCAACAAATCCTAGCAGAAGAGATTAAAGCTGAGAGGGAACTGGAACTTGACCAAGCTTGCATTAGCCAGCAGATTAAAGAAAGTAGGTATCTACCACTTAAGTTGTCTTCCTCACCTCCTTATTCTTTCATTTTCATACTTCTTCATCCTTCCGTATTCTCTCTTTTGTTTTCTTTGTGATATGACGGAATCTTTGGTATTAGGTGTTCTCTTTTCTTTTAGACACTGGGGGCTCTTAGAAAAGGGCGGAAGCAAGAATTAGGAAGCTAATTTCCCTATTGTCCTCAGAATTATGGGCCTTCTACTTAACACTCCTCATTTGCTCATGTGTCCATACCCTACTGCCTGCCCTCGCATGTGCCCACTGTTGTGCTGAGGACTCAGGGTCTTCATTCTTTTACCTTGTGTTAAGGGGGTTCTGTAGCTCTGCAGCCCTCATCCTGCCACATCACCTTGGCCAGCTCTTACACTCCACACAGGTCCAGCCATGGCTGGAGGTGTCTGAGTCTAGGGAGCCACAGGCAGGGAGGGAGATGCTCAACTTCTCTCTGGATGTTTTTGGTTTCCAGACCAGCAGTGTCTGCTCAGAGAAGAGACCTGGCTGGCCAGCTTGCAGCAGCAGCAGCAAGAAGACCATGTAGCAGAGAAAGATCTTGAGGAATCTGTGGTGCTTGATGCTTGGCTTCAGACAGATCATGAGATTCAGCCATCCCCATTTGTCCAAAGTCAGAAAAGGGTGGTGCAATTGCAGCTCCTGCGGAGACACACTCTTCTGGCAGCAGAGCAGAATGTTCGGCAAAAAAAGGTCTCATTCCAGCTAGAGAGAATCGTCAAAAAGCAGAGGCTGCTGGAGGCCCAGAAGAGACTGGAGCAGCTCACGACATTGTGCTGGCTCCAGGATGACAGCACCCAGGAGCACCCATACTGGGTTTCCAGCCCTGATGCCATAGTCCCAGAGCCTCGATGTAGAAGCAGATCGTCAAGTTGCAGTTCTTTGAGCCCCCAAAGGCTCTGCAGCAAGCACGTGCCCCAGCTACAGAGGTACAGCCAGTAGTTGTCACCTGGAAACACTTGGTTAAAGTTTACAGCCTTGTTGTCTAGGTAGTGTTCTGTTCTTCCCAGTGCCTCATTTCCTCAGTCTGTCAAATGGAAGGATGTGTATAGTCCTGTCTTCCTCATGACCTTTTCTCCCTTCTGGCCACTCTTCTTCTTTCTGTATACATCGTTTTAGATTGATGCTTCTCCCATCTTCCTTATCTCCTGAGTATCAATTCTTGCTTCTTTGGTAATATCTTAGGAGTAAGGCTCTCAGCCTCATTTTTCATCTGTTCCTTAGACCTGGACTATCCATATACATCTCCTTGTATGTCCCACGTAAATCTTGTCATGCCTCTAACCAGACTTCTTGACTCCTACACCACCTCCCTCTGTCTCCCTCCCTGACCCACCTGGCACATCAAATGAGCTTTCTGATCCCACCTCCCACCTGGTGAGTAAGCTATGTTTTTGACTCCTGGGTTCAAGTTGAGATCTTCCTTGTTTGTTTTCTCCATTACTCCTTATATCAAGGCAGGGCTGTATTATCTGCCAGACTTCTTGAAGCAAGGGTTTATATATCTTATACCTCTTTAAATCCTCAGGACCTAGCACAGGTTCTTGTCCATAGGAGGTTCACAATTAACATCTCTTGGTGTTATGTTTGCTCACCTCTCTGGTCTTCAAAGTACCAGGTGGGCTTTAAAAAATTTTTTATTATGAAAAAAATTAAACATATGTCAAGTTGGAAGAGCAGTATATGTATCACTGATACTATTCAGCAGTTATTAAGCTTTACGCACCTGCCTACGTTCCCATTTTCTGAAGTATTTTAAGGCAATTTCTAGACACCATGTCATTTTAGTTCTACATTTCTAAGTATACACTTCTAAAAAAAAGGGACTTTTCTTGTAACCACAATGTTATTATGACAGCTGCCAAAATTAAGATTATTTGCTGTATTCTAAAACTTGGGCCATATTCAAATTTCTCTGCTTGCTTAAAACTATTAACAGTTGGTTTTTCTTTTTTCTCTAACATGGTTCAGCATTGAAATAGTGGGTTTTTCAAATCAAGATCCAAGTAGGATTTAGATACTGCATGTGTTTGTTGTTTTTTAGGTTTCTTTTAATCATTCTTTTTGTTTGATTTTTAATCATTATTTTTATTTCTTTATATTATTGATAATTACAGTTCTGTAGAATGTATATCACTTTATAGATGTATCTTTTGGTTCCGCATAATACCATTTAAATTGTTTCTCTATTCCTCATGTTGCCTGTTAATAGGAAGTTTTCCCTAAAAGTGTGATTAGCTTCTGTTCAGTTTTTTAATAAGATGAAGAAATTGAGGAACAGAGTGGGCCTGGAGCCTCTTGGAGAGCTAGTCCACAGTTTCCTTTTATACCTAGAGAGCTTTTCTCTGGCTCTGAAGTCTGTAGGAGACAGTGATATTGGCCTGGTTTTTAACTTCCTTCTGTCCACAGGAAGTAGTACCTCTTACGTCTTCTGAGACAGCTTTCCTTGCCTTCACAGCGTTTTCCTGAGTTTGGATCCCTCCACCACGTTACCACCTATGCCTGACCCTACACACCAAACATCAGAGAAAACATCAGAAGAGCATTTGCCGCAGGCTGCTTCCTACTCTCCAAGGGCAGGGCATCGCCACAAGAACGGCCTGCATTCCTTAGGCCATGGGCAGCACTACACAGCTAGAGCAGCCAAGGCCAGGAAGGAAGCCTCAGCTCCAGACACTTGCCTCACCATGAGATCCAAGTCTATTGGCATCCAGGAAATGCAGAGAGTGGGTAAGCAGCCCTGTCAGATGATGAGCCAGGGCTTAGTATCTCTGAGGCAATCAGCTAACGAGCTAAAGCCAAGGGATGAACCAAAGATTCTCACCTCTACCACCCAGACCAGAAGGGCAAAGGGACTAGCGGACCCTAGCCACACACAAGCTGGGTGGCAAAAAGAAGGGAACCTTGGGACCCACAAGTCTGCTATGGGAGCCAGTTGCAGTTCCCCGTATCCTCATGGACCCAAGACAACTGCTGGCTGTGGAAAGGCAGTCAAGACTTTTTGGATAGAATACAAACCACCTTCTCCTAGCAAGGCATTAAAAAGGCATCAGAGGGTTCTGGCAGCTAGGGTCAGAGATATTACCAAAAAATCCTCTCACTTGCCTCTTGGCTGTCCTTTGAAGAGAAAACAAAATGCAAGGGACCCAGACACCATGGCCCCACTCACAGATATCAGCCCAGTAGAGGATCATTCAAGAGAAAAAGACAATGATTTATCTGACACAGATAGCAACTACTCAGTAGATTCTCTCTCGTGTGTCTTCGCCAAAGCCCAGATAGAGCCACTAAAGCGAGAGGACCCTAAGGGGAGGAAGTGGGATTTCCCAGAGCCAGAGAACTCTGAAAGTGACGAAAGCCAAATATCTGAGGACTCACTGGCTGAGAAGAGTACCAAAAGCTTGAAAGACAGGCTATGGGGCAATCATCCCACCAATAACCATGGCCACCCTAGGATCAGAGCTAGAGCTTTTGTGAGGGACTTCACTGCCCCATCAGACAGTGACCTACTTGCTCAAACTCACAGGAGCTTTTCCTTGGATAGCCTGATTGATGCTGAGGAAGAACTGGGGAAAGATCAGCTAGAAGAAGCTTTCCCTGGTTCAGCTGACGAGATACCCACAGAGACTTTTTGGCACCTGGAGAACTCCAATCTGCCTCTGATGGACCAAGAGGCAATATGCAGGCTTGGTCCCATCAGCTACAGAACAGGAGCTAGGCCGGATGCTGTACTGCCAATGAGCAGCTCGTTTTACCTTGATCCCCAGTTCCAACCCCATCATGCGGAGGCTGAGTCACAGGTAGAGCCAAGCTACTGTGAACAAGCCGACTATCTCCATGGCATGCAGCTTTCAAGAGAGAGCCCACTGATGTCCATGGATTCCTGGTTTTCCTGTGACTCTAAGATCAACCCCAGCAGCCCCCCAGGAATAGTGGGTTCTTTATGTCCAAGTCCTGATATGCAGGAATTTCAGCCCTGTGACGGAGAGAGGCCTGGATACTGGCTAAATACTGAGGAACTAAAGCTATCAGGTGCAGACACAGTTCCACCAGATAGCTCCAAACTGCACCAAGGCAGTACTGAGCTGCTCTGCGGTGTAAGAGATGAGCATACAACCTCTGCTTCTGACAAATCCAGGCTATCTCTCTGGGGAATTCAAAGGCTTGTTCAACCAGGAGCTGATGGCACCTTTCAGGGCAGAGGTATCCCTGACATGACCCAGCAGGGCAGCTCTGAAGCATCCCACAATTCTAGTGTATCAAATGTGCTGGCTGCCTCTGCCACCACATTGACTCATGCAGGCAGCACCCATGAAAGGGATTGGTCTGCCCTTCAGCAAAAGTACCTCCTTGAACTTTCTCATCCTGTTTTGGAGGCCATAGGGGAGCCCAGGCCAGCTTTCTCCTACCTTGAAGAAGACTCCGGTTCCCTGGCCCAAGCTTCTAGAAAAGGAGGAGATACTCTATTCCCAGTTGGCCCTAGGGTATCTAGCAATCTGGATGTCAACAACTTTCCACTCCATCTGTCCAGAATCAGGCGTTTGAGAGCAGAGAAAGAACAGGACAGTTTAAATGCCAAATTAGAAGGTGTTTCAGATTTCTTTAAGACTAGTGAGAAAGTGGTGAGTTATGACGAAACTTATTCGGCAGACTTGGAATCATTGGCTGCTTGTGAATCTACAGATGCACAAGTCTTTGCAGCAGAGAACACGATACCAAATTCCATGGCAGAAGCATGTGAAGTCAAGCAGAACAACTTGGAAGAATGCCTTCAGAGTTGCAGGAAACCTGGACTGATGACTTCCTCTGATGAGTATTTTTTCCAGAAGAATGCTTGTCACAGTACTGTCACTACAGCCACCAAAGCAGACCATTGGCCTCAAGGCTGGGCTTCTCTCAGGAAAAATAGTGCAGTCCAGCCAAGGCAATTAAGTTCCAACAGCCACCACCCGCTAGAGGAAGAGAAGATAGATTGTCAGGAGAGCTCTGAGGAAGTAGTTAGAAGACACATAAATGTTTCCTTTGCCTTTCCTTCAGGTCCAGAGCTATACCTTCACTCTGCTCCCTGGAATCCATTCTTACCTTCCCTGCAGCCCCCTCCCTTGGAAACGTTCTATGTGACCAAAAGCAGGGATGCCCTGACAGAAACTGCCTTAGAGATTCCAACTTGCAGAGAAATAAGGGTACCTTCTCCACCTCCCAGGGAAGCCTGGGGCTTTGGTCACAACCACCAAGTTCTCCAAAATGCTTATTTGAAGAGTAATTTGCCAGTGCTGTTACAAAACCAGAATTCTAAGAGTGCCTCATCTCAGCAGGTCACAGCTGAGATACCAGTTGATCTGAATACCAGGGAAGTCGTCAGAGAATCAGGTAAATGCCCTGGAAATATTATAGATGAAAGCCATAATTCCGTTTATTCTTCTGTTACCCAGGACAGACATTTTTTCCCTTCCACCAGCACAAAAGTATGTGAATTTGAAAATCAAGTTGGAATTTTAAGTAAAAAACACACTTTTCCAGCACTTGAGGGAGAAGAGGCCACTGCTCATTCCTGTTGCAGTGGTTCCTCAGACAGCACTGTGTCTGGGAAACCTCTCGCCCTCTTTTGTGAATCTGAGGCAGGCGAGGAAGAAAAGCTGGATCCAAATACAGTTCTGAGTCAGACCATCAGTGTAGGCCTTGAGAAAGACATGCCAGGGGAAAGTGCTGTTTCTTTGAAGTCCAGGTCAGTATATCATAGAGTAAGCAGCCCAGTGATGGTGGCCCAGGATGAGAGTCCAACCCCTAAGTGGAAAGGGAAAAATGAAACTGGGCTTTTTGGAAAAGCTCTTCATCCCAAAGATAGCTCAGAGGAGGTTAAGCTTCCAGGTACAAAGCCTGCATATGAAAGGTTCCGGTTAGTTACATGCCCTCAGGAAAGAAACTCCAGTGTATGCCAGAGCCCTGGAAAGTCAGAAGAAATGTTAAATCCCAAAGGAGAACCTTTTGGAAAGAAACAGAATAAAAGAGTTAATAATATTGATGAAATGGCTAGGCTAATTAGGAGTGTAATGCAGTTGGAAAATGGCATCTTAGAAATTGAATCCGAGCAGAGTAAGCAGGTTCATGCTTCCCACGTACCAGGTGTCAGTAAGGAGTTTGTGTTCCAGGACCAGAAGGAGCAGGAGAAGACTGACCATGCCCTTAGGCCAGACAGCTCTGGAAATGCTTTGCCCTCTAAGGATCAGCTGTCTTCTCCAAGACAGACAGATGATACTGTCATTAGGGATAGCGAAGCTGGAGAGATGGAGGTTAACAACGCTGGGAACCATCCCCAGGTCCAGAAAACCACTGTAAACTCCCTCAGGTCAAGGGAAGGTGTACAAGAGAATGAACCTGTGAGAGAGCACACCCACCCAGCTGGATCAGACAGATCCTCCAGGGACATTTGTGCTTCTTTAGGGACACACACAACTTTCAGAGAGTTCAGCAACACTTTTCTTCACCCGCAGAGAATGAAAGCATTGGCTAGAGCTCTGCCATTGCAGCCCAGGCTGGAAAGGTCCTCTGAGAATGATGGGCAATTGGTAAAAGCTTCAGCAAGTCTCAAAGGGCAGCCTTGGGGCTTAGGAAGTCTTGAGGAATTGGAGACTGTGAAAGGTTTTCAGGAAAGCCAAATTGCTGAACACATAAGTAGTTCCAATCAAGATTGGACCCCAAGAGACCCTGGAAACTGCTCTGTAGCTGGTGGACATGCTCAGTCAGAGTGGGTACTTAGCAGTGCCTCGCTGAAGGATGCTGGTCCCCAGGTGCTTGGGTGCCAACCCGTAGGCAACCAAGAGGAACCAAAAGCTCAAGGTAAAGTTGAAGAAATGCCTGTGCAAAGGGGAGGCAGCCTACAGGAAGAAAATAAAGTGACTCAGAAACTTCCTAGTCTCAGCAAGCTTTGTAGAGATACATTTTTCAGCCACAAAACTGTCAGCCCATTACTAAGCCAGACAGAATTCTCTACAGCTCCTACTCACCAAGACCCTAGTAATACCTTGCCCTTGAATTATCCAAGGCTGCCAAGAAGCTGTCTTCATGCATCTGATGCTCTAGGCATCTCTTCACCTGATTGTGTGCTGGATCTCACAGTGTCGAAAACTCACCATAGTCCCTTGGTAACTGGAGTAGAGCATCAAGACCAGAGTGCAGAAACCAAAAACCACAGCCCTGAGGGAAATGTTAGAGGGGGTTCCTCTGAGGCACACACTGCCTGGTGTGGGTCTGTGAGATCCATGGCCGTGGTTTCTGATAGTCAATCTGGTGTACCAGAGAGCATTCCTCTGGGGACAGAGGACAGGATCTCAGCAAGCAGCAGCCCCCAAGACCAAGGAAGGGACCTCAGAATCACCTTGATGGGTTTCAGTACCAGTGAAGATTTTGCTTCTGAAGCCAAGGTGGCTGTACAAAAAGAAATAGGAGTCAGTTCACTGAACGAGGTCTCTAGACAGCCTGAAAAGAGGGTCAGCTTCTCTTTGGAAGAGGATAATGACCAAGGTAGCGAGCAAAGGCAGAAGGCAGAGAAGGAGACTGAAGACCTCAGACTAACCAGCGGTGTTTTCTTACCATCTGTTTCACTGCCAAGGATGCCCAATCCAGAGCTTAGGCTGTTGGAGCCCTTTGATCATGCATCCATGTGCCTGGCCATCTTGGAGGAGATCAGACAGGCAAAGGCCCAGAGAAAGCAGCTTGATGACTCTGTAGCCAGGGGCACAGTCCTTTCTTACTGTGAAACTTTACTAGAACCTGAATGTTCTTCAAGCCTTGTGGGCAGGCCTCAGTGTAAACAAACAGACCAGTCATCATCAGACTGGACCAGGAATGAGGGTGAAGCACCGGGATTTCATGTGGCATCTCTGTCTGCTGAACAAGGGCATCTGTCAACTGATGCGAGGAAAGACCAGGGCACATCTCTGTTTGAAGACAGCTTTCAACCTCTGCCTGATACTGGAACCGACAGAGAGCCATGGCATCCTGTGCAGGCTTTCTCCCCTGCTGCCTCTGCTCTAGACAAAAAACATTGTACCGGAGAACTGAGGCAGTTCGCGGGAGCTGGCGAACAGTTTTTTCATCACTCTAGTTCTTCTGAAATCATAGAGAAAAAGAAAGATGCAACCAGAACACTTCCCTCTGCTGATCCTTTGGCACCAGACAGTCTTTATTTAGCACCTGTGGAGGGGGTCAGGCGGGTAGTGTCAAAGATGTTAGTGGCTGCCTTATCTTCTCAGGCCCCTTGTGATGATCCTAGAGTAACTCTGCGTGAGCTAAGTCAGTCAGTTCCACAGGAGACTGCAGAGGGCCCTGGAAGTCAGGACAGCAGCCCAGAGCATCAGGAACCCAGAACTCTAGACACCACATATGGAGAAGTTTCAAATAATTTGTTAGTGACTACACAGGGAGAAAAAACAGCCGGTTTTGAAAGTCAGTCTGTGATCTGTGATGTTCAGAAGTCTACAAGTCCCTCAGGGCCTAAGCAAGACTATCTCCAATGCCCTGAGGCTTCCACTGGCTTTGAAGAAGGGAGGGCAAGTCCCAAACAAGATACTCTTCTGCCTGGAGCTCTGACAAGGCTTGAACTGGAAGCTCCCACACAGCAGTGTGTGAAGTGGAAGGAGAGTGTTGGGTCTGGGTTGATAGAAGTCTGCAGGACTGGCAGTGAACATTCCAGGCCGACTCCACTGCCATATCAAAGATCTAGCCCAAGTCCTGAGGGAATTGGGGAGGGAGCCCCCTGCAGATACCCAAGAGAAGCCTTAGATTGCCCAGTCTTCTCAAGGAACACCAAAGGCAGCAGGACTCTCAGCCCATCTAGAGGAGAAGAGAGCAGAACTCTTCCTTGCCAACAGCCATCCAGTTCTCAGCCAGTTACTACTCATGCTGATTCCTCCCATTTTTCTACTTTACTGTGTTATAGAGGTGGAGACTTGGGGAAGGAGCTTTTCAAGGTTGCCCCACATTTTATCCACTCACCCTGTGTAGCACCTTCCAGGGCCTTTGAAATGGATGAGAGAGGAGAGATCTCTTCGAGGGGACCTGACGTGCACTTGACACATGGCCTTGAGCCCAAAGATGTTAACAGGGAATTTAGGCCAACAGAGAGCAACACTTGTGAGCCTTCTACTGTGGCTGCTGTCCTATCTCAAGCTCAAGGCTGCAGCTCCCCTTCTGCCCCTGATGTGAGGATAAGTTCCTTCAGCCACTCAGCTACTAATGGAAGCTTAGGGTTAATAGGGGTTCCTGAGAAAAATGTTGCTGAGAAGCAAGCAAGCACAGAACTGGAGACTGCCTCTTTCACTGCTGGCATGCACTCTGAGCCACTGAGGCAGTTTAGGGACAGCTCTCTAAATGGCCAGAATGCACAGGTGTCTCAAACCAATCCAGAACCACCTGCAACAACTCAGGGACCACACGCCTGGGATTTAAGTGAAGGGTCTGCTGAGAGTGAGTTGGTGGCAGAGCCACAGCATGGATGTTTAGAAAATACCACCAGATGTCTTTTAGAAATGCCACAATTTCCCACTGAGTCAAGGGATAACAATTGCTTGGATTTCCAAACCAAGTTTGTAGCAAAGTTAAAACATACCTGCAGCCCCCAGGATAACAGTCCCTGGGAGAAAGAAGAGCAGCAGAGAGACCAGGCTTCAGGTGGTGGTGAAGGCTTCCCCCAGGGTGTGAATCCCCTTCCTTCTGATAAAGGTGGCTCAGCTGGCTGTCAGATTTTAGATTCTGGGAGAGAGGAGGTGGCTGTGGCCAAGCCCCTTATGTCCAAGATTTTATCAGAGGGTGTCAAAGACCCAGCCACTGTGCTTTTGAGGCAAAATGAAACACCACAGCCTGTTGCTCAGAGGCCTGGCCACCTCTGTACTGTTAGGGAGCAGCCAGCCCCCAACCACAGGTGCTCACTTCCTGTGATTGCAGTCTTCTCTGGCCCCAAACACTCTGAGTCCTCCCCCACACCACAGTTCTCAGTTGTCAGCTCTTATTCTCTTCAGGAGCTGAACTTGAGTGTGGAGCCTCCTTCCCCTACAGATGAGGATACACAGGGGCCTAACAGATTGTGGAACTCACATCTCAGGGGCTATTCCTCAGGAAAGTCAGTGGCAAGAACATCTCTGCAGGCTGAGGACAGCAATCAGAAAGGCTCATCTCACTTGGATGATGGCACTGCTGATCACAAGCCCCCGAAGCCTGCTACCCCTCCTTATCCAATGCCTTCCTCTCTCTCATGCATGCCAACTCCTGATTTCATGACGGGCTTGATGTCTGGTACTTTGGAACAGGTCCAACAGGGAAAGCCAGAAAAACTGGATGTACAGATTAGGCCAGAAAATTGGTGCTCTCAGATGGACAAAGGGAAGTTGCACTTTGGCTCCAGTGACATCAATCCCTATGCCCTGTCCCGGCGTCCAGAAGAGCCTGCGCGTATCAGCTGGAAGCCATGTGTGTTTGGCAGTGCAGTCGATGTTTCCTGCAGCCAGAAGCCCCATAGCCTGACACCATCAAATGTGGTCCGGTGTTCCAGCATGGACAATGGCCTAGAAGAACAGAACTCCGCCTTCCACTCCCACCTCAGCACTTACGCCAATACTCAGGACCTGTCAAGCACACACAGCAGCACTGAGAATGCCCAAGGTTCAAATGAGGCCTGGGAAATTTTCTCAGGGACTTCAACTGCCTTAGGAAACCCGCACATCCTGACTAGCCCTGAAGGAGTAGCCCCCACTTCAGTTCATGACAGAAGACCCCAGTTCAGGGGCCCTTCTAGTGAAGTAGACTGTCTGAGGAGTAAGCCCCCTGTGGCTGAAGGAGGTGCTGCAGGTCCAGTGGATGAGATTATGCTGCTTTATCCATCAGAGGCAGGCTGCCCTGTGGGACAGACCAGGACAAACACATTCAAACAGGGCACACAGACCCTCAGCAGCAGGCGTCACTGGAGCAGCACTGACGTCTCCTTTGCTCAGCCTGAAGCCAGTGCAGTGTCGGCCTCTGATCTGGCCTCATGGGCCAGCATGCACAATCTGTCTCTCCACCTCTCACAGCTCCTACACAGTACCTCAGAGCTTCTAGGGAGTCTCTCCCAGCCAGGTGTGGCCAGAAGGGAGCAGAACACCAAGAGGGACGTTCTAGATGAAGCCCCAAAGGCCCGTATGATGGATGGCTCTACTCAGACCACCGTGGATGAGGGCAGCCAGACTGACCTCGCCTTATCCTCCCTGTGCCTCCAGGCTTCAGTGGCCAAACCTCAGGAAGTCAATGTGATCCTTGCAGGGCTGGGCTTAGATACCTCAACCATGTCTCAAGAAAAGGGAGATGTGCCAGGGGTACCTCAGAAGAGAGAGGCAGAGGAAACAGCATGGAAAATGGCACAGCCCCCATATCGTCAGGAAGAAAGCACTCCCTGCAAGCCCCAGAGCCCTCTGATACCCTCATCCCACTTGAGGTTTCAGAAAGCCTCCCTTGGACAGCATCTTCCTTCTGTGAGCCCCTCCGTTTCTGATGCTTTCCTGCCTCACAGCTCCCAGCCAGAGGAATCTCCTTGCATAGCTGTCAGCAGTCCCAGTCCCAGCCCCTCTCATTCCCCAGGGCTCTTTCCCAGCACTTCCGAATACCCTGGGCACCCTAGGGTCCAGAAAAAGTTGAGCCCTCCAAGTGCTTTGTTGGTAGACAGGGCCTCTTCCCCAATCCTCACTCTTAGTGCCAGCACCCAAGACCCGGGTCTTCCCCCAGGCTTTTTGACCCTTTCAGCCCCCTCAGCTCACTCTGTTGAAGACCACCAGAAGCTTGACTCCAGCCCAGACCCTGTTGGTGCCCCAAGGACTCCAGTGGATAATTATTCCCAACCCACTAATGAGTCAGGTGGCTCCCAGAGGGGTAGAAGTTCATTACAAAGGAATGACAGGAGGACCTTCCTTGAGTTGGGCTCCCCGCACAGCCCACAACAGAGTCCAAAATTCCAAGTTGATTTCTTAGGGCAGCCACCTCAGCAGCTTCAGCCCAGGACCACTACTGGGGTCCAAAGCAGACTGCTGCCACCACCACTGAGGCAGAGGAGCCAGATGCTGGCCGATAGCTTTGTGCCTGAGGAGGTGGCTTCCCCAGAGCATGGCCCACTGAGCGGTAGGGAGCCAAGTCAGTGGCGGAGCATGACAGAAAATGGAGGTGAGGGTTCAGCATCTCCAGTGGAACTGCAGTGCACTCTGGACCTTTCCTCTTCACGGAGAGGCCTCCAGCACCTCAGTCCCTGCCCTGTCTCTGAGTTGACTACAGGGCTTCAAGGTTCTGCCTTGGGTCTGCCTCAGGCCTGCCAACCTGAGGGGCTGCTGTGCCCCAGTTGCCAGATGTGCATGGCCCCTGAGCCCCAGCACCACAGTCTGAGGGACCTCCCAGTGCATAACAAATTTAGTAGCTGGTATGGGGTTCAGAAGGGCTCTCCTGGGAGGTCGAACTTGACTGAAGAGCTGGGGGCCAGCTGTGATCTCAGCTCTGAAAAGCAGGAACAGAGCCCCCCACAACCTCCTAATGACAACAGCCAGGATCCTGAGTGGTCCCAAAGGGAGCAGATCCCCCTGCAAGTTGGGGCCCAGAACATCTCACTCAGCATGGAACTCACAGAAGCAAAACTGCACCACGGCTTTGGGGAGGCAGATGCCCTGCTCCAGGTACTGCAGAGTGGAACAGGGGAGGTGCTTGCTACTGATGAACCTGTGATATCCACCTGGAAGGATCTCTGTGTTCGGTAAGGGCCCCAGCCTGGGGTCGGGAGGAGAAGGGGTAGGCTGAGAGGAAAGAACCCAAGAAAGCTAATAGCTTGCTGTTCCCTCTGCCTTTGTACATTTCTGGGATCTTCCAGGGGTCATAGATAGATCTTAAAGCAAAGGGCATTCAGGGTCAGCTTCAGTGAATCATATTTTGCCTCAGGCAAAAAGAAGCCATTGAGACCCTCAGGAGAGAGCAGGCTAAGCGACTTCGGAACCTCAACCAGACTCGAAGCCTTAGCCCCCAGAAACAACTGAGCCTCCTGCCCAACAAAGATCGCCTCATCCGGGATCTCGACTTGCCTAGCAGACGCCGAGAATACTTGCAGCAACTGAGGAAGGATGTTGTGGAGACCACCAGGTAGGGTGGACCCAGAGCCCTGATGGAAGCAGGGTCTGTTGGGGGAAGGGAGTGTGGGAGCAGGAGCTGAGGTTTTAGTATCCTGGAGGGTTCTCTATACCTGTGGGTAAGTGGAGGTGGCTGAAAGAGGACATAGGAGAAAATGGAGTGAGGGAGGGGTGGGCAGAGATAAGGCACAGGAAAGGATGGACAGAAGGTTTCTCACAGGCTGTGCAGGTTTGCACGTCTGGGTCTCAAAGTGGCTTGGTTCTCTCTGTCCAGCAACCTCTCCTGAGGATAAAAAATCAAACTTTAAAACCCTGTGGGCAAAGGGAGGATGGGCCTTTTAAGGAGGTGGTATCATCCAAACTAGCCTCGGGTGGGCAGACCAGGGCTGTCACCCACCCACCATGTTAGAGTGTATCTTTTCACCCTGTGATCTTCCTCAGGAGCCCAGAGTCGGTGTCAAGGTCTGCTCACCCAGCCTTTGACGTAGAGCTGATGCTGCGAGACTACCAGCAGGCCCGTGAGGAGGCCAAGTTGGAGATTGCCCGTGCTCAAGACCGACTGCGGGAGCGAACTAAACAAGAGAAGCTGAGAATCCACCAGCAGATCATTTCCCAGCTATTGAGGGTTTGGAGTGGGGCGAGCCTCTGATTTTAGGATAAGCCTGGACCTCAGTCTTGTCCATTTTCACTGTGGCTGCCTCTGAGTCTTGGGACATACATAACATTTGGAGGAGGCTGTGGGACCCCTGATGCCAACTCAAAGCTGGGCTAACTCTCTTTTTACATAATGAGGCCACCTCCTGTCCCCAGGCCAAACCCTCGGAGGAAGAGGCTTTGGTGTGAAGTCCGTGGCGGGGGTGGGGGATGAGAGGGGTGGGAGGGTAGGGGGTTGGTGGGGGAGCGGGGAATAAGAGCAGCAGTGGCTTTAAGGAAGCTGAGGCATGTGAGGCTAAGTCAGGGGGGCCCTGGGAGGTGGGTGAAGGAATAGTAGAGGTGAGCAGGGAAGGGGTGGGCAGGAGAGGGCATAGCCAGTGAGGGTGCATCAGAAGCTGGTTGATGGTGATGTATCCTTTCTAGGAAGAGGAAAAACTGCATACCTTGGCCAATTCCAGTTCCCTGTGCACCAGCTCTAGTGGAAGCCTCTCATCTGGCATGACTTCTGGCTATAATAGCAGCCCAGCCTTGTCAGGCCAGCTCCAGTCCCCAGAGAATGTGGTGAGTAGGCAGTTGTTGGAAACGAGCCAGGGGCCCAGACTGCTGAGGCAAGAGTCTGGGCAGGACGCTGTCTTTCCTGGAGGCTACTGCTGGCATGAGCCCTTCTCATGTGCAGGCCTTTGGTTTTCCCTTTAGTTTTGCCTCCCACTCCTTCTGTTTATTTGTTCATTCAACAAATGTTTTGTGGGCATTGTTTTAGGATACAGCGGTGAGCAAAACCATTGTTGTCCTTAGACTGAGGGATAAATATTAACAACTGATTTATTATCGAGTTATTGTTGCAGTAAATTGTTTGAAGGAGGGTTGCTAAATCAGCATAAAACCAGGGGTCTGATGTAGTCTGAAAGGTCATGGAGATGCTCCGAAGAGAATGTGTTTAAACAGAGACTAAAAGGATAAGAGGTAGTTAACGCAGTAAAAGCTTAGTGCTGCTGTTATGAGGTGAGATGTGGGCCTAGCAAGTCAATCTTGGAGGATGGAGAGTTTGAGGAACTAAATGAAGGTTAGTGTGGTTGGAATGTAAAGAGTGAGTTGGGAAAATGACATGAGAAGGGACTAGAAAATTGTGTGGACTGTAATGAGAGTTCTGGCCCCTTTCTAATCCATCTCACTGTATCACTTCCCAAAAGTGAAAAGGCTGCTCAAAGTAATAGAAACCTTTTAAGTAGGGGAGTAGAATGACTGGATTGTAAGAAAAGGAGGCAGGAGCAGCTGTGGGAGACCTACTATATGACCATGGCAGGGTTGAGAGAGATAATTGCTTAGTTAAGGGCACTGCCAGTGAAGATGAACAGAGGTGGATGGAGTGGAGAGAGAGCATATACAGGACTTGGTGACATGCGTGTTAGAGTAAGGAAGAGCGGGGAGTTGAGAACAGCACACACTTTTGACTTGAGCAGCTGAAGGGTGGCGATGTGAACAATGACAAGGAACACTGGAGGGAGAACTAGGTTTTGTGTGAAAGATGATGAGTTTAGATTTGTACTTACTGAGTTGAAGGTGCCCGTGAGAAATCCAGGTGGAGCAGTTGGAAATACAGAGCTCATAGGTGAGATCTGGCTGGGGATAAACATTTGAAATTCATTTTACAAATAAAACTTTATCTAATAAAATAATATTTAAAAGGTAGCAAAGAACATCCAATGTCAGGTGCATGTTTGAGTCTCCTATTTGCCTTCCCCAGAATCAGTCATTTATCCCAGTTTGGTATATATTTCCAGGGATGATGTATATACATCTTTTTGTAAAGTGCATGAATAGAAGTATACTGTATTCACTTTCTCACTTTGCTTTTTCTCTGAAAAACATCTCTTGGATATCATTGCGTCAGTAAATCTAGTACTGACTTCTTTTTTGTTGTTTTTATTTTAAGAGGCAGGTTTTTTTCCTTCTAAATATCGCAGTAGGTTCAGAAAAAAATATAAAAATTTAAAGAAAAATTTTTTTTAAGAGGCAGGTTTTTGCCATGTTGCCCAGATTGCTTTCAAACTTCTGGGCTCAAGCTCTCTGCCCACCTAGGCCTCCTAAAATGCTGGGATTACATGTGTGAATCATCATGCCTGGCCTTCTTTTTAACAGCTGAATAGTGTTTCTTTTTTTTCTCTTTTTTTGCATGTTTTTAAATTTGATGTTTATATAGATAATATATTCATATAGCAGAAAGGGCACAAATATATACACATACAGGTTGAGCATCCCTAATCCAAATATCAGAAATTCAGAATACTCCAAAATCTAAAACTTTTTGAGCACCGTGACACCACAAGTGGAAAATACTGCACCTGACTTCATGTAACAGGTTGAGTTGAAATACAGTCAAAACTTTGTTTCATGCACAAAATTATTTAAAACATTATATTAAATTGCCACCAGGCTGTGTGTATAAGGTATATTTGTAACATAAATTATATGTTTTGACATGGATCCTATCCCCACATATCTTCTTATGCATATGCAAATATTCCAAAATCCAAAATAATTCAAAATCTAAAACACTTCTGGTCCCAAGAATTTTGGATAAGGGATACTCAGCCTATAAAAGGGATAAAGGGAAATACCTGTTCCTGCCCTCAGTCTACCTAGTTCTTCTCCGTCATCCCACTCAAGGAAAGCAGTGTTGTTTCTTGGATGGTATCCTCCTAGGGGTCTTTATGCATACAAAATAAAGCATACTATTCTACTGTCCTATACCTTATTTTTTTTTCACTCAGTATAATTTGGAATTCTTTCTATTTGAATATGCAGAGAACTTCCTCATTTTTTTCATTGCTGCATAGCATTGCATTGTAGAGTTGCACTGTAATTTATTTAACCAGTATTCTAACTTGGGTTGTTTTCAGACTTTTGCCATTATCAGCAATACTGCAGTGAATAACTTTATGCATATATCATTTTTTTTTTTTTTTTTTTTTTTTTTTGGGACAGAGTTTCACTCTTGTTACCCAGGCTGGAGTGCAATGGCGCGATCTCAGCTCACCGCAACCTCCGCCTCCTGGGTTCAGGCAATTCTCCTGCCTCAGCCTCCTGAGTAGCTGGGATTACAGGCACGCGCCACCATGCCCAGCTAATTTTTTGTATTTTTAGTAGAGATGGGGTTTCACCATGTAGACCGAGATGGTCTCGATCTCTTGACCTCGTGATCCACCCGCCTCGGCCTCCCAAAGTGCTGGGATTACAGGCCTGAGCCACCGTGCCCGGCCGCATATATCATTTTATACATAGGTAAATATATCTGTGGGATAAATTCCCAGGACACTTCTACAACGAGTTTATACATTTAAAATTTTGACAGATACTGTTTTTTCTCACAGATGAGCTAATTTATACTCCCACCAGTAATAGATGAGAGTTTTACTTTTTTCCATACTCTCACCAGCATGTTATCAAATGTTTGGATTTTTTGTTGAAAAATTATATCTCATTTTTCTCATATGGTTAAATATTTTTATTTTCTTCATGAGCCATCTGTTCATATCCTTTGCTCATTTCTCTTTTTCTCTTACCAATTCAAGAGTTCTTTATATTTTGTCAAGAATAGTCCTCTGACTGATAAGAACTATAAATATTTTTCCCAGTGCTTTATTCTCTTTTGACTTTGTTTTGTTTGGGGCCATGCAGACAGTTATATTTGTCAGTTTTCTTTATATGGTATCTAGGTTATAAATAATAATTAGAAACAGATTCTTCAATTCAAAATTCTTCAATTCAAAATTTTCTCCATGGTTTCTTCTAGAACTTCTGTCGTTTATTTTTCATATTTAAATCTTTGTTCTTTTTGGAGTCATTTTCATATGAGGTATGGATCCGATTGTGTTCTTTACAGATGGCTACACCATTGTCCCCTTAATGCTTGTTAGACAGTTTATCTTTGTGTAATCTGTTTAAGGTGTCCCCTTTCCTTATACCAAGGCTTAGAATAGATTCTACCCTGTGGTAGTGTTAGTCCACCACTACCCTCATTGCTCTTATCTTTCTGAGCTTTACCAGAGTATTGTTTCTTGTTGATTTAAAAATTGTATTATTTTATTATAATTGACACATAATATTATAAATATTTCTCAAGTACAGTGTAATGTTTCAATACACGTATACACAGCATAATCAAATCAGGCAATTAGCATATCCATCACTGTAAACATTTATCATTTCTTTGTGGTGATAACATAAAATCCTATCTTCTAACCATCTTGAAACATACATTACATTATTATTAGCTATAGTCACCCAGTTGTGTAATAGAAAACCAGAATTTATTCTTCCTTTCTAACATTGTACCTGTTGACCAACCACTCTCCATCCCCCTCTCCCTGATCCCCTCCCCAGCGTCTGGTAACTACTATTCTACTCTCTCCTTCTATCAGATCAACTTTTTTATTTTTGTTATTTATTTATTTATTTTTGAGACGGAGTTTCACTCTTGTTACCCAGGCTGGAGTGCAATGGCGTGATCTCGGCTCACCGCAACCTCCGCCTCCTGGGTTCAGGCAATTCTCCTGCCTCAACCTCCTGAGTAGCTGGGATTACAGGCATGCGCCACCATGCCCAGCTAATGTTTTGCATTTTTAGCAGAGACGGGGTTTCACCATGTTGACCAGGATAGTCTCGATCTCTTGATCTCATGATCCACCCGTCTTGGCCTCCCAAAGTGCTGGGATTACAGGCTTGAGCCACTGCGCCCGGCCTGTTTACTTATTTTTGAGACAGAGTGTCAATCTGTTGCCCAAGCTGTAGTGCAGTGGCATGATCTGGGCTCACTGCAACCTCTGCCTCCCAGGTTCAAGTGATTGTCATGCCTCAGCCTCCTGAGTAGCTGGAATTACAAGCCCCCATCACCACACCCAGCTAATTTTTGTATTTTTAGGAAAGACGAGGTTTCATCATGTTGGCTAGGCTGGTCTTGAACTCCTGACCTCAGGTGATCTATCCATCTCGGCCTCTCAAAGCACTGGGATTGCAGGCATGAGAGATCAACTTTTTTAGATTCTGTATATGAGTAAGATCATGTGGTGGTTGTCTGTCTGTGCCTGGTGTCTTTCACTTGGCATAATGTCTCTGGATTCATCTATTTTGCTACAAATGACAGAATTTTATGCTGTTTCATGGCTGAATAGTATTCAAAGGTGTATATATACACAGCAAACATTAATAGATTTCTTCACCCATTCATTCGTAAGCATTTAGGTTGATTTCATCTCTTGGTTATTGTGAGTTGCTGCAATAAATATGAGAATGTAGATATGTGTTTGATATACTGATTTCATTTTCACTAGCTATATACCCAGTGGTGGAATTGCTGGATCACATGGTAGTTCTGCTTTAGTTTTTTGAGAAACTGTCATACTGTTTGCCATAATGGCTGTATTGATTTACATTCCTACCAACAGTGTATGAGTTCCCCTTTCTCCACATCCTTAACAGCATTTGTTGTTTTTTGTTTATTTATTTATTTTTTTAGTGTTAATTTTTTTTTTTTTTTTTGAGACGGAGTTTCGCTCTTGTTA